AGGACCTCCAAAGCCCAGCTCCTCAATGAGAGAGTTTGTGCCACCAAGACTGCCATTGTGGGACCAGCATAGGGTTGCCATATTTCAAAAAGTAAAATTGGTGAGCACCCTGCGCCCTTCGTATGGGCACCATAAACAGAGGGTGTCTTTGAGTCCAGTCACTGTTTCTCAGTCCAAACAAGGTTGTTGTGGAGATGAAATGATGGGGAGGGAGAACTAGATCACTGTCTTGAGATGCTTGGAGGAAAGGTGGTGTGTGTGTGTGTAATGAAATAATGATGTCTCCTAAAAATGCATTTGGATTAAATTTTGGAGAGATGTCTGAAAGCCAGGAGGGAAACCTAGAATATAATGGAGAGCTGGAACCATTATGGAGAAAAGCAGTGTCAGCCATGGGGTGGGGGGCTGTCTCTCTCCATAGCTATCAGTCATTTCCCTGTGACTCCTTTAGATGCAGGGCTAAGGGAAGGGGTCGCCAGTCACAGGGTCTTGAGACAATAAACAGGCAGCAGCTTTGAAAAGGATGCATTCAAGAGGTTTTCCACACACTTGACAATTTGTCTTTGTTGAGATAGATGTTCACGCTGTGAATATACAGATCAGGTGGTACCTGTTACATGCATATAAAGTTGCCTCATGCTGTGCAAGACCATTGAACTATTTATCCTGACAGGCAATGGCTCTTCAGGGTCTAAGGCAAACAATCTTTTTCATTCCAGCAATCTGGAATCCTTTTAATTGGAGAGCCTGTGCAGCAGGCTGTGGAACTTTCTGCATTCAAAGCATATGCTCTAGCCGTGATCAAGGTATAGACTAAGGTTACCAGATTTTTTTCAATGAATCCGGGGACACTTTCCAACTTCCTATTAAATAGATGGATTTTGTCAGGGGACTGATTTGTAAATCAGGGGACTGTCCCTGGGAAACGGGGACGTCTGGTAACCTTAGTGTAGATCCCATATCCTCCTGGGCAAGGCTAGTCTAGAATTTGAACCCAGGACACAAGAGGAGCCTGCTGGATCAAACCAAGGGCACATCCAATCCAGCATCCTGTTCTTTCAGCAGCCAGACAGATGCCAGTGGGAAATGCACAAGCACCAGAGCCCCCCCTCCTGTGGTTTGGACATCACAGCTACTTTTTCTTCAAAATAAAAGCTTTAGAAACACCGTTTGGGCTTCAGATGTCAGGATTTGGGGGCTTGGCTTCTTCCCCCCCACCATAAGGAGCACAAAGAGAAAGCAGTCTCTTACCAGTAACAAAAATGTTTAATGAACGCAGCAAAAGAACAAGTGAGCATTCTTGGAGTGCAGGTGCTCCCAGTTAAGGTTTCTCCCGCTTCCCTCCAGTCACTTCTGTCCTCTTGTCTCCTAGCCACCTGATCTCTCAACCACAGAGCCTTTTACATGCACAGTCCGTAAGGACGTTGCGCGTGCGCCACCAGGCGGTTTGCCCCACCCCTTGGCGTCCTGCCCCGGGTGCCGGAGAGGGTTTCTCCGCCACTGGCCTTGGGACTGAGAGGCTGCACATCTTCCAGTGAGAGAGAGCTGGCCAGCTTACTCTCTTCCCTTTCTTCTTCTTAGAATCAGAATCATAGAATCATAGAGCTGGAAGAGATCACAAGGGCCATCGAGTCCAACCCCCTGCCAAGCAGGAAACACCATCAGAGCACTCCTGACATATGGTTGTCAAGCCTCTGCTTAAAGACCTCCAAAGAAGGAGACTCCACCACACTCCTTGGCAGCAAATTCCACTGTCGAACAGCTTTTACTGTCAGGAAGTTCTTCCTAATGTTTAGGTGGAATCTTCTTTCTTGTAGTTCTTGCTGTTCACCTCCCAGTTCTGCCCAACTATTATCTTCCAAACTGTGACCCTCAGCAAACCATTGTTCCAAATCAACACTACTCCACTGCTCCTGGGGAGTTTCAGGATCCTGGCCATGAGCAAGGGGAGGGGTAGGCTCCCACCATTCCTCATGAGAGTTGCACTCCTCAGTCTGTTTAAAAACCTCCAAGGAAGGAGAGTCCACCACCTCTCATGGGAGTCTGTTCCACTGCTGAACAGCTCTTACTGTCAGAAAGTTTTTCTGAATATTTAGTTGGAATCTCCTTTATTGCAACTTAAAGCCATTGGTTTGAGTCCTACCTTCCAGAGCAGGAGAAAACAAGCATGCTCCCAGCTCCATGTGATAGCCCTTAAGATATCTCCTCTCAGTCCCTTCTTTTCCAGGCTAAACAAATCCAGCTCCTTCAAGGGCTTGGTTTCCAGACCCTTGATCATCTTGGTTGCCCTCCTCTGCACACATTTCAGCTTGTCAACATCCATCTTAAACTGTGGTGCCCAGAATTGGACACAGTATTCCAGGTGTGGTCTGACTATGGCAGAAGAGAGTGGGACTATGACTTCCCTTGATCTGGACACTAGACATCTGTTGATGCAGTCAAGAATAGCATTAGTTTTTTTTTGCTGCTGCATCAAACTGTTGACTCATGTTAAGCTTGTAGTCCACCATAGAATCATAGAATCATAGAGTTGGAAGAGACCACAAGGGCCATCGAGTCCAACCCCCTGCCAAGCAGGAAACACCATCAGAGCACTCCTGACATATGGTTGTCAAGCCTCTGCTTAAAGACCTCCAAAGAAGGAGACTCCATCACACTCCTTGGCAGCAAATTCCACTGTCGAACAGCTTTTACTGTCAGGAAGTTCTTCCTAATGTTTAGGTGGAATCTTCTTTCTTGTAGTTTGGATCCATTGCTCCGTGTCCGCTTCTCTGGAGCAGCAGAAAACAACCTTTCTCCCTCCTCTATGTGACATCCTTTTATATATTTGAACATGGCTATCATATCACCCCTTAACCAAGACCCCTAGATCCTTTTCACATGGACTGCTAGCAAGTCAGGTGTCCCCCATCTTATATTTGTGCATCTGGTTCTTCTTGCCTAAGTACAGAACCTTACATTTGTCCCTATTAAAATGCATTTTGTTAGCTTGTGCCCAGTTCTCCAGTCTGTTTAGGTCATTTTGAATTCTGATTCTGTCTTCTGCAGCATTAGCCACCGATCCTGGTGTCATCTGCAAATTTGACGAGCATCCCCTCAATTACTTCACCCAAGTCACTTATAAAGATGATGAACAACAACGGGTCCAGGACAGAACCCTGTGGCACCCCACTTGTCACTTTTTTCTAGGATGACAAAGAACCATTCATGAGTCCTCTTTGGGTTTGGTCAGGCAACCAGCTACAAATCCACCTAACAGTTACCTTGTTCAACCCACATTTTACCAGCTTCCTCACAAGGGGAATTTATCAAAAGCCTGACTGAAGTCAAGATACGCTATATCCACAGCATTTCCCTGATCCACCAAGTTTGTAATTCCATCAAAAAAAGAAATCAGATTGGTCTGGCATGACTTTTGAGAAACCCATGCTGGATCTTAGTAATCGCAGTATTCTTTTCTAAGTGCTCACAGACCGACTGTTGAATTATCTTAACCTTTAGCTCAGACAGCAAATTGTCTTTGGCCCTGGAAGAAAGAGGAGTCCACAGTGGTTGCTTAGCAGCCACAGGTCATCATACATCCACAAACCTTCTCTTCCAGCTTTTTCGTAACTGCAAAGATCTCCACATCTCCCTCTCAGAGCTGAAGTCAACCACAGGCCTTAGACTGAGTCAGACCATGTTGTCCATCTAGCTCAGCCTTGTCTACACTGACTGGCAGCAGCTGTCAAGGATTTCAGACAGGGAGCCTCTCCTAGAGACTCTAGGGGTTGAAACTTGGACCTTCTGCAGATGCCCTACCACTGCTCTATGGCTTCTCCACCAGAGCTGGATTCCTCTGGGTAAGGCAAGAGAATTGCAGGACCTTCTCACAGAGAGCTCATTTATCCTCCCTGACCTGGTGGATAATGGGGACAGCTCATTCTGCTTGGCTGCTAGGGCTGAAAGAGATGAGAAAGCAAGGAGGTACTTCATCATGTTGTCATGCAGCCAGTCAATGGAAGGTGAGCATTGAAGGCTGGAAGACTTACCTACCTCTCTTAGCAACCCTCACCCCTACTCCCCAGTTATTGCACTGTGAGATTAGCCAGCCCCCCCCCCCGCGTAATAGCAAGCATTTTCATGCCCACTCTGCATTGCACTCTGGGGGAGGGGCTTTGTGCTTTGGATTTGGTTGCCTGTTAACCCATTTGAAATGCCCTCTCTCTAGAACAAAGCTTGTGATCCATTAAGGTAGATTGGTGAGCACCCCAAAGCACCACGGCGAGGGGGAAGAGATCTTCCCAAGAATGGGGTCTCAGGGTCTACTTATTTGCCTTGAGGGAATGGGGGGCAAGATTCACCTAACACCAGGGCAAGCCCTATATGTGGGCTTCTGCAACAGGCAGGGGCATAGCATGGGGGGGTGCTAGGGGGCCCTGGCACCAGGTGAACCAGGTGCCCTCCACAGGCGCTGGCTTCCACGTGGATCCCCGTCCCATCCAGGCGTGTCCTGGTGGGCCCCATCCCTGGCTCCCTGTCCTTCCCTGTCTGCTGCTGCAGGTCTCTGGGCCCTGGAGCCCTTCACTGCCCTGCCTCACTGCCATGTCCCCGCACTGAATGGCTGCCCGGCCAATGCTTCCCAGACAGAGAGCAGGTGTAGACAGAGGGAGGTGGGCACAGGGCAACCCCAGCATAGCCCAGGTACTTGCAAACCATGCTACGCCACTGACAACAGGGCTTTCTTCTCCTCTGCCTGTGCCCCCCCCAATTTGTTCTGACGGTTCTTTCAACCACCCCCAGAACAGCACACAGGGGGGTTGCTTTGTCTGGCAAGTAGCAATGCTTGTGCTGCTGGTACATTCACCACAGTTCAGCATGAAATTCTACTCTAGGATGAAGTCTCCTAGCCCTGCCCAGCTCACCTACCCAAGGCATTTCAGCTCAGGGATGGTGGGGAGTCAGGCAGACTTTCCTCTGCACATCTGTAATGATGCACATCTGGGATATGTGAGCCACGAGGAGCCACGTAGCTCAGGGGTAGAGCAGCTGCTTTGTATGCAGAAGGTCCCAGGTTTACCCCCTGGGATCTCCAGGCAGGGCTGGAAACGCCCCCTGCCTGAAACCCTTGAGTCAGTGTAGACCAGCGTTTCTCTAACTCGGGTCTGCAGCTGTTATTGGACTACAACTCCCATCACCCCTGACCACTGGTCCTGCTAGCTAGGGATGATGGGAGTTGTAATCCAACAACAGCTGGGGATCTGAGTTTGAGAAGCACTGGTGTAGACAATACTGAGGTAGATGAACCAATGGTCTGATTCGTTATAAGGGGGCTTCCTGTGCTGGGCCACCTAGATAAGGGATGGAGATGGGCAGAGACTAAGTTGCTGTCTTATCAGGAGCTGCTGGGTTAGAACTGGGAATGCATGGCCGCCATCTGCTGAGCTACCACTACTTTAGCTGAGTCAGTAAAGGGCTTCAAGCTGCTTGAGAGGCTTCACTCAAGCTGGCCATTGCCTCTCCTGAACAGGAAGGAAGGAAGAGACACATCCTGTCTAGGCTGAGCCACTGACATGGCAGCAATAGTATTTCCTGGTTCTACCTTGTTTTCTGGTTTTGATCCCTCAGCTTTGACTTCTTCCTTGACCTCTGAGCTCTGGCCCCTTGGCTTCTGGTTCCCCCTTGGGGGCTGCCTACGCCCAAGCTCTGAGCCATCATCACACCTCCCCAAACTGGGGAGGGGAGATACCTAAACAATTTAGAATAAGGAGTCCCTGATAGTTAATCTAATTCTGACCCTAACTTAACCCAAGAAGAACCTGTGTCTCATTGCTAAATTCCTGCACCCACATGCAGTAAATACTTCCAGATTAGGCTTGGGTCTTTGCCTAAGAAGATCTTAGGCAGCTTTTAGGAGCAGCTCTTCTCTCCCTTGCAGTTGCAAGATCTCCACAGCAAAACAACCCTTCCCACAATTGATTCAGTGCCTTGCCTGGTAGAATGCTAAGCTGTCATGTCTGTTAATTAGATTTTTGATCAGGAAGTGTCAATTTCCACACACCCAAACTGATGAGAAAAAAAGATCCATTAGTTAAAGAATTTGAAGGAGAGATTGGGCAATGAATGCTGAACAAACGTATTTAGAAGCCTGCCAAGGCAAAATGAACTATGCAAACATTCCAGGTGGGTTTTGTTTAAGTTTAAATTTATTTTTGAGAACAGGGACTACTTGTGTGTCCTCCCCCCCCCCCCCGCTGGAGCGTGAACAGCATTTCCATTTCAGAACTGTTTGAGGTTCCTCTGTGCCTCTCTTGACAACTTCTCTGACGTTTTCCTTTCTTTTGCTGACCCTGATTCATCTCTGGAAAAAAATGCTATGTGCCTTCACGTGAGCTGGCAAAGTATTAATGTAACAACCAATGGAAAGCTCTACTTCATTGTGTTTGGTGTGCTTCCCTCACCTATTTGCTTGGCAAGATTCTTCAGGAATTTTGGCAAGCTCATGCAGGCAGTGTTCCCCTCAAAAAACTCATTATCCTTGAAAATGCTGCTTATGAAATGTGCTGTGAAGTGGCGATTGTCCTTGCATTGTGGGTCTTTGACTCCCATTCAGCAACATCACACAAACGGAGCCAACGTCCTGCACAGATCCTGCATTTCTGCCAAGCTCCAATCCTTTTGCATTCTAAGTAGTGATGGACAAATCTGTCAATTTCAGTTTTTTTCTGCTTTTCATTTTTTCCAGACTCAAGTTCACATTGCCAGACCAGTTCTTAATTTTTTTAGCTGAAGTCCTCATTCACCAGCATTTTAGTCTGAAGACTTACCTACCTCTCTTAGCAACCCTCACCCCCACTCCCCAGTTATTTCACTGGGAGATTAGCCTGAATCTTCTTTTGGTATGCAATTTTGCCCAATGTACATGTCTGTGCAAGCCATTTTCCCTAATATTGGCTAAACTTATGCACTTTTTGGATGTTATTTTTAACAACATGTGTTTTATGTACTCTAGCCTAATACACAGTGTACACACATTTTTGTGCACAGCGTTTGCAAAATTCAGCTAAGTGCAAATTTTGCAGGCCTGCATTTCAGCTTATTTGAGCAAGGGCAATTTAGATAGGTTTAAATCCAAACAGAACTGGATTCTGCCCCCCCATCCCTTATTATAACATGAATTAGTGAAGTCAGTGGACTCTTATGTATTAAACAGGAGGTTAGCAGGCCATGATTTATCATCTGTTGTCTGTTTTCTTTTTATATCACTCAAACCATGTTCCACTTACCAAATATATCACAATTTTGTTTAATCAATACCTTATTTTGCCCTGGCTATTTTGCCCTGCTAAGGCCAGTTCTGCATGTTGCTCTTGATATTGTAAGAAGAGGATTAAGGGAGCCTGAGATACAGGGACTGTATCTGAGCCAAACTAATAGTCCAGGAAGGTGAGCTAAGAGGATACTATGCAGCCCTGATTTCTAGTGAAGGATGCCCAGTGGTGCAGGTTGGATAATATTCCACTCTGGACTTAATGGGCACCCACCATATATGGTAAAGTCATGTATATGATGTAACTTACTTTAGATAGTAATTTGTAAGTCATTCACCAGTGTGGTGTAGTAGTTAGAGTGTTGGACTAGGACATCAGAGACCAGGGCTCAAGTCCCCACTTGGCCAGCAATCTCACTGGGTAACTTACTGTGTTGTCCCCCCCCCCCAATAAAGAGTGAACTGCATCCCATGCCTTCTGTGTGTGTGCCTGCTCTGTAGCCGACCTGGCTCCCTGACAGCTCCTTGACACTATCTAGCTCAGCATTGTCTTCCTTGAGTGGCAGTGGTTCTCCAGGATTTTAGACAGGGGGACTCTCCCAGCCCTACCAGGAGATGCTCTGCCACTGAGCTATGTGCCCCCTCCCATAAATTCAACTAAAGCTAGCCCTGCTGTGCTTGGGGGCCACACCTGCTTATTCTGCTACGCGAAGCCCTGGACTCCTGCTGTAAATTCCCACCCTGATGGCACTGGTGAGAATGCCTAAATGGTCCGTTCCCTAGGAGGACCTATTTGACTCCTGCTCCTTTCTCCCATGTTTCTTGTCAACAGAGCAGTATCAGCAGCAGATGAACCGAGAACATTCATGTGCCAGGAAAAAAAGGACTCCAGCCCCTGGCCCCTCCCTGCACTTCCGCAGGTGAGGATAGACGCCACCTTCACCGACAGAGAAATAAGTCATAACGTTTCTCGCTTTCCTGCAGATCCTTCTGATGGGCCCTTCCTGGCATTTGTGAATTCAGCAAGCGCTATGATTAATAGCCATCCGTGCCTCAAATCATCCTTTGCTGTCAGCTCCAGCAAATTGATAAGACTGATGGGGCCCAGCACCGAAAACCCTGCCTGGGCTTTTGCTTTCCGCTAAGCCAATTAGCGCCTCTTCTTATAAGTTTTCAATTGGCCCATTAAACTTGGGCAGCCTTCAAACAAATAATTCAGCATTGCATATGATGGAGGCTGATCGAGGAAAGGGGGCCATGCCCCTCTAGGCTGGCTGCAAATAAATATGCATTCTTAGAGATCAGGGGAAAATATCATCAGAGGGGAAGGCTGGAACACATTTACTTACTGACGTGATTACTAAGATAGCGGCGTGTTTCAAGGAAAACACGCCTGATGGGATTGTTAGACTTCAAGCATGAAGACTGATCCCTTGGATGGCGAAGGGCGATTTGTGAGAAATGATCTATGCTTTCAGAATAAGCTTGTGACTCCCCCGCTCCTCTCATTAGCAACTTAGAGCATATTAGAAGAATATGCCTATGTTCTTGCTCACTGGTTCTGTGTATGTGTTTTGTTTCTGCTCGATTCCCTTTTGGCCTGTAAATTAAAAGAGCTGCTTGTGCATTGTTTTTAACATTGATATTATGAATATTTTAAAGTGGCAAATCATTAACTTCTATATCTTAAACAAATGATGTGCATGCCCACTGTCACAGATTTCCTTTGATCACACACACACACACACACACACACACACAGCCTGGCTGGATCACGCCAATGCTTCATCTAGTCTAACAACCTGTTCTTAGGGTGGCCAACCGGATGCTTGTGAGATGCAGGTGGTAGATATGTTTTTAATCAATCAATTAATTAAAATAAACAAGCAGTAGCAGGAGTTCAGCTATGCTTCCAGCTCCTTCTGGAATCCAAGAACAAAGCCGTGACTTTGCATGTCCACTCTGTCATGTCCAGGATGGAGGTGATGTGGGCTGTGACTGTTTTGAGGATCAGCTGCACAGTGTGAAAAGGGCCCTGTGCAAGTGTGTGACTGGTTGTGGATCAGACGACCTGCACTGTGAAGGGGGGGAATGTGGCTTGGATGTGTGTGTGTGTGTGTGTGTGTGTGTGAGAGAGAGAGAGAGAGAGAGAGAGAGAGAGAGAATTACTATTAATTCCCATGCCACTGCTGTTTTGTACCCATAATAGCACAGCAATTTTGTGCAGGCCCCATTTGCCCCTCCCATTTCTGCTTCTGGCTCTACCGATCATTGGAATAGAGCCCCCAAAATGTTGACCATATTCAGATCTGGCCCTCAGGAGAAAAGTAGTTCCTCAATTCTTGTTTAAGGAATCTGAGTAAAAGTCTAAAATAAACTACCAGCCAGCTAGTCCCACGATGCCCTTCATAAGCAGAGCACCCTGGATGAAAATGGGTTTAGACTAGGACTGGCATGCACAAACACAGATACAAGCAGCACACTGTTCCCTTTAGTCTTTACATATGCAATTTTAGTTTTCAGTTTCAATGTTTAGGTTTTGGTGCTAACTTAATCAAAGCTGGCAAGACTTGTGGTGCCACGTCCAATGTAAAGGAGACCAAATCAAATTACTGTCTTATCTTGCATTTCATCATAACTGCCTGAACTAAGCGACCCCTGAGTAGTGGAGCAAGCAATTAAATTTAAACAATGTTCCAAGTTGCTAACACCACCAATTAAAAAGTCACTCTTTAACACCAACTAAATCCATGCTCAGAAGTATCCTAACAGCATAAAAAAGCACAAAGTGATGTCTTTGCTTTAAAATGATATGGAGGGTATTTGATTCATAGTATTCGGGGCTTTTGCCATCATGAAATCTGCAAAATTAAGACCATCTTATTAGGATCAAATTGTAGGATCAAATGCAGGATCCAGTTGGCCTACTAAAAATGCCAGAAGAAAGTATCAGAGGGGGAAAAGAGAGTTGGGGAATGTTTCAGTACATTTGGGGTATTTTTAAATAAACTTTTAATGTTAATAATTGCTTTGGATCTCTGATCTTTTTCTTTTCTTTAGTTCTACTCTTCCTCCAATCAAGCAAGCAGTAAAACAATAGAATTTAAAATAAAATAAAAAAATTAAAACATTAAAAAAACATAAAAAAATTAAAAGCATTCAAACATTTAACAATTTTGAAAACAATCATACACCCTCACAGCTAATAATTTAAACAGTTTCTTTCTGCCATCAAATGTCTGGGTGAACAGGAATGGTTTTAAAGTTCCTTTTAAAGTTGTTATATTATGTAAGATAACATTTTTAAACATGTGATTCCACACATGTTGCTGGAGGCCATCTACCACCTCTAGGTTTTGCCCCCTCATTCCCAGATCCCATCTCAATGATGCCCCATCTGCTCTTGAGGCTAATCCACTTTGGTCACGGTCCATTACTGCTGTGCCTTTTGCTTCAGGGGAAAACCAGATCTGTGAACCTTCTGCATGTTGTCTTCCAGGCACTTACCTGCTAAGTGGACTGTTCAAACCACGACAGTCAGGTGTCAAGTGGCTTGATAGTTGGCTTCATCTATAAAAGAAATCGTTTTACAACATATCAGACTGAATCTCATCAATCTTCTCCAGAAAATATATCATTTCTTCCCACAGCCTCTTGCCATAGATTGTATGTAGATGGTCCCTTTCCTTTATTCTTTTTCTCCCCCTGCCATCAGCCTTTTGTTTGATTATGGTCATTAATACAGAACATGCAACCACAGCAGAACAGAGTTAAGAGAAATGCTTTCTTTTAAATATCAAGAAAGCAGATGATGCTAGTGCCAACTTGGCTCAGGTTTGGAAACAAAGTAGGAGCAGATGGTACAAACCCAGGGAAACCTCAGTCGAGACCCAGCAGCAGAAGAATGATGCAGATGGGATGGGTGGGGTGGGGGGTGTCCATGCATGAACACCCTGTGCAATGGAGTAGGCATAGAACCATAGAATCATGGAATTGTAGAGTTGGAAGGGACCCCAAGGGCCACCTAGTCCAACCTAGTCAACCCCTAAGCCTCCTACCCTCCCCTCCCCTTTCTGTTCTCTCCTCCCCGCAAACTAATAACAAAACCCACACACCAACACACACACACACACACACACATCTCCCCACCTCATACTTGGACCAGCGCGACAAATCTTTTATCACCATTACCACTATTCTTCCCCCCTTTCCCCTCTCTCTTCCTCTCTCTCCCCTTTATTGTATATTTGTATATTTTACCCTAATTTCCCCTCCATTCCCCCTTCCTTCCTTCCTTCCTTCCTTCCTTCCTTCCTTCCTTCCTTCTTCTTTTTTCTCCTTCTTCTTTTTCTTCTCTTCCTCTTTCGTTTTCCCTTCTGTCTCTGTTTTGTTTTGCTCTGTTCCTAAACAGAACTGAAATATACTCGGAGTCCTGCAGTGATTTCATGCTCTTTATTGCAGCTTGTAAAACAGTGATTAAATTTTCCCCCAAACCTCAGGCTTTTATATACATTATTTACACAATGAGTCCCGTCTGAATGGCTGATTCTGCTTCCCTCCTGGAAGCAGTCTTCTCCTGCAGGCCAATCAGTTGTTGCATTCTAGGCTCCTACCTGCCTATTGTTCTAGGATCAAAGCTTAGTACATAACAAGAACCTTAAAAAGGGGGCAAAAGGCCAAGGATAAAACATAAAATACTTACAGATAGAGGTGGGTTTGCCCTCCTAGACCTTAAATTGTATTACGAATCTGCTTGTTTGGTATGGATCAGGGACTGGATGAGATTGGACAAGCAAGAGGCATTAGAACTAGAAGGACATGACAACAGATTTGGCTGGCATGCATATTTATGGTACGGGCAAGGGAAGATTCATAGAAGTTTTTACAACCATATAATTAATAATCCGTGACCAGGGAGAAGAGTCGGTGGAAGAAGATTGGAAGAAATTTAAAGATTATTTACAGAAACACTGCAAAATTAATGAATGTTAGAGTGATGTTGGATTGAAGTTAAGTGGCTTCTAGCTGAACAGGTTTTAAGGCTATAAATGTATCAAGATTAAGGATTAGGACCAAAAAAACTAAGAGAAATGGAAAAATTGGTTCAAATAGGTAAAAATCTAATGTCATAATATATCAAGATTTAGGACTGGAATTAAAAAGGAGGATAAGAAATTGCTGGGTTTACAAACTGAAATGGAATACAAAAGAGGGAGGTATGAGGAAGTCCGGGAAATAAGTAAATTTAAAAGAGGTTATGAAAGGACGGAATTATTTTTAACTGTTTTTTCTTTCTTTTTTCTTTTTTCTTTTTTTACCTTTTTCTATTCTGTACTTTGTATTTTGTAAAATTTTTGTGTTTATTAATGTGATTTTATTTTTTCTGAAACTTTAATAAATATTAATTATAAAAAAAATATAATTAGGAAATCATTAATGAGAGTATGGGACAGATACAAAGACTTATTGGAACAAAAGACCCCGTGGTGGCTCTCACCACATGAAGCATTACTGCTCAAACCACTTGGAAAGAAAGGAAAATGGCTCACATATGCTGATTTATTAAAGGAACATGATGGAAAATGGAAATTAAGAGATTATGATGAGATCAAAGACCACTTTCAGAGTTGGTTGCATTATCGACAACTATATGAAACATATAAAGAAGACAGTAAGAAAGGATTTAGTTATACTAGATCTAGGTTTCAAACGGAAGTGATTGAAGGGAAAGTGAAACTACCGAAGGCTGCATACAGCATACTATTCAAATGGGAGATGAAAGATGAAGAGGTAGAATCAGTTATGATTAAATGGGCACAAGATGTAGGTCACAACATTATGATGGAAGATTGGGTTAAATTATGGAAAACTGACTTAAAATTTACAGATTGTTCCCTATTGAAGGAAAATTACATGAAGATGATGTACAGATGGTACACAACACCAGTGCAGTTAGGGAAAATGTACAAAACTAGTTCAAATATATGTTGGAAGTGTAAGGAAAAGGAGGGGACATTTTATCATGTGTGGTGGGATTGTAAAGTAATTTTAAAAATTTGGGAAATGATACACAATGAATTGAAGAAAATGTTCCATTTAACATTTGTTAAAAAACCCGAGGCATTTTTGTTGGGGATTGTAGGGAAAGACCTGCCAAAAAAGTTGAAAAACATCTTCATGTATGCGACAACGGCCGCGAGAGTTCTGGTAGCACAAGGATGGAAGACTGAAGAAACCCCAACTAAAGAATCATGGCAAGAAAAATTGATGGACTATGCAGAACTGGCAAAATTGACATATAAGCTACGGGACAAGGATAACTGTGACTTTAAGGATGAATGGGAACCTTTCACAAAGTATCTGAAGACGCGAACTGGACTCCTTGGCAGGTTTTGAATAAACATTCACAATTTTTTTTTTTACTGATAATAATTAGCTAAACGGTTTGAGGATCTATACAACTTTGTAACATGCAGAAAATAGCATTATTGGAGAAACCAAAGACTGGAACTGAGGGAAGTCGGGGGGTGGGGTGGGGGGATGGGTTTGTGGGGGGGGAGGGGGGAGGGAGGAAAAATGGGAGGGGAATAAGTATATGTTTTTGGATAATATGTTTTGTTATAACTTTCAATAAAAAAAATTGAAAAAGGATCAAAGCTTAGTACATAACCTTACCAGTCTTAAATTTTAACTTTCTACTACAAATCCCTAATCCCCTTTCCCACCCTTAACTGGACCTCACTTCCCCCCAGTGTGTGCATGAGCCTGTAGGTGTGTGTGCACAGGGATACCCACAAATAACCCCCCATCCTCCCCTGGCCCCACTTCACCAGTCTCTTACATCTCAGCCTGTTACCCCTCTATGTCAACTGTTTGTCTGTTGGTCTACTTGTCTGTCTGCTTGTCTATTCCCTGCTTCGCCAACACCACTGAGGCATCTACGGAAACCCCAGAGAAGCCCTTGAAATGCAGCCCAGAGGTGACAAAAATGACTGCCTAATCCCAACACTCTGTAAAAGGCACCAGTCAACAACGCCTGCCCAGCTCAACAACACAACAACACCCAGGAACCATCATCACCACAACTCCCAATCATAACACACCCCACCCCAAGAGGACGCCAAGCAGATCTCAAACCAAAACCACTAGGGAGAGTGAGATGACACCAACCAGGGAGATGGCAAACAGTGCTGAGCCCGCAGCACCCCTTCAAGATGACGACCACCCAACAACGAAATGAGATCTGAGGGAAATGGAAATGAGATTAGCAGAAATACTGAAGGTCACAGTGGCTCCCCTCTAGAGAACAAGAACCAAATGCAAGAAAGAATAATAGAGCAATACCGAGAGGAGAACACACATGTGAATAAGAAATTGGCTGAACTGGTAAACCACCTGGAAACAGAAAGCACAGAAATGAGAATCAAACAAGCGGACCTTGAAGATCGCAGTAGACATAGCAACATCCACTTCCGCAACTTTCCCCAAAAAGTGGAGGAGTAAAGCCCAGCAGACCTCATTGTACGCTGGCTAAAAACCATGATCCCAAACCTGACACTCGAGGTAGACGACCTGGAGAGGGCTCACAGAGCTCTAAAACCTATGCCAAAATCCAACGCCCCCCCCCAACATCGTTGTGTGCTTCGCAACATTACAAAAAAGAAGAAGTATGGAACAACCTCAAACTGGAGGAGAAGCCAACGCCCATGCACCCAACGTCTCCAACAAAAAGGGATCAAATACTGATGGGGCTTCCCTTTCCACTTCATCGTAACAAGCAGCACAAAAGAACACACGGCTACCAACATACCTGAAGCCCTGTAACTGCTGAAGAACCTCGGACTCGACCCTCCACCAGAATGGCAGACCAACCAAGTGAAAGCCAAGATCATGATGAAACAACAACAAGTGATTGGATGATAGTAAAGAGGAAAAAGAAATCACAGAAGCGACACAACAATGCAAACCAATACAGTCAAGCACCACACACAGAATCGTTCCACCGAATATACAGCACAAGACACCAAACCAACCTCAACCAGATCAACCAAACCAACACATCATAGAATGACAACCCTGAAACAACAACCACAGCTGAACGAAGCAACCGGAAATCACCTCCAACTGAGGGACTGGTGAACCCATCCCCCTTTTCCTCTCCCCCATGCCATAAATATAGCTAACACCATCAATCCCCCCCCAACCCTACAACTCCACAGAGATCCCCACCCCAACACCAGTCCAGATGACATCAAATCACATTACCCATTACCCAACAACCCACAACTCACACTTCCAGCACCCCCCTACACTATACTGAAATAACTCCCCCAACCTCAAGAAAACAACCCACAAACAGGCCAAAATCTGACACTCCACCAGCACAATGGTGGTGCCAGAGCGTACCAACACCCACATCCCCACCCCAACACACCAATGATGTTGTAAATAACACTGAAAACATTGCTTATGCCTATACACAACATTGGTGTCACAAAGGTGCTTAACACCGTCTCACTGACTACTCCCTATCGCAAACAACAGGAAGGATGGTCTGTCCTTGAACAAGGCCCTCCACGCCAGCTGAGACCTCCACACCAGCTAAATGCCAGATGGCCCATGATACCCCAATTAAACACCTATATGACTACATATAGGATACTTTCTGCAATCTACACTCCACTCTTTAACCCAAACCTAATTCTAACCCCCTACTCCCCCACCCACTACACTCTAGGTCAGTGCAACTTCATTGGTTCGATAGACAACCCAAGGTGAGAGAGACAGGGCAACCCAAATGGGTTGGCAGGGAATCACCCTATATAGTAGATAAGCAAGATGACTAGCTTAAAAGCAATTAAATTAAATGTGAGGGAGTTGGGAAACCCCATCAAAAGAAAACACATCACCTTGTATATCAACACCATAAAACCATACATCACCTTCCTACAGGAAATACACAACCCACCCAAAGGGAGCAAACTCTTGAGTGACCCCCGCTTCAGTCAACAATGGGTTGCAACTGGCTCAGGGAAGGCCTGCGGAGTAGCCATAATACTTAGTAGAGACCTGAACTTCAAAGCCACGACAGTCTTAAAAGACAAAAGAGGCAGATTCATTTTCGCTAAAGGGACACTAGATGGCAAAACTCAACTGACAATCGGCTCCATGTATGCCCCAAACTCAAAACAACTAGACTTCGTCCAGAAAACACTAAACAAGTTCTTCTTCTCCGAAGGGGAAGCAATCCTGGGAGGTGACCTCAAATGTGAAAGGCATATCACTGAAAGATACCCACCCCACAACCCCATGGGCAACCTTTCTCTGAAGGAAACCCCTAACAATTAGGGACTCTAATTGGGGTGAACAAAACCCGGGAGACACCAGCCACACATTCCAGTCCGGATGCCATGGCACAGTGTCCAGACTGGACAGCATTCTGCTCACAGAGGGTCTGATCCCCTCAGTGGAATCAATGAACATAGGTAACATTAAAATCACAGATCACGCCCCAGTAGAAGTTACCCTTAAAATAGGAGAGGGAACACAAACCACCCTATCATGGTCCTTCAGTCCCATCCTAACCACAAATAAACAAATTAGAGAGAGTCTCAAAAAAGTCTCCAGAACTACTTCAAGGAAAATGATGTAGACAATATGACAACCCTCCTCCTATGGGACACAATGAAAGTGGTCACCAGAGGAGCTTGCATAAAAGAGAAAACTCCAGACTATTAGCAAATAGGTGTAGGAAAAAAGCACTCAAAACAAGAATACACTGCATCACCAAAAAAGACGGCAACATAACATTCTCCCCCAAAGAAATAACCTCAGAATTTGCAGAATTTTACTCCAACCTATAAAGGTAAAGGTACCCCTGCCCGTATGGGCCAGTCTTGACAGACTCTAGGGTTGTGCGCTCATCTCACTCTATAGGCCGGGAGCCAGCGCTGTCCGCAGACACTTCCGGGTCACGTGGCCAGCGTGACAAGCTGCATCTGGTGAGCCAGCACAGCACACGGAACGCCATTTACCTTCCCGCTGGTAAGCGGTCCCTATACTCCAACCTATACACCTCTCCTAACCCACCTGAGGAGGAAATCAAAAAATTCCTAGCAGGACTGACCATGCCTACCTTAACCAATGAGGAACAGGAATTCATGGACAGTCCTATCACCCCAGAGGAAATAGATACGGGCCTCAAAAACCTGAAGCCACACAAAGCCCCAGGCCCAGATGGTTTTACAGCAGAATTCTATAGGAAATTCAAAGAACCCCTGATGCCCTACATGACCCGTCTATTCAATGACATCATAAAAGGGGGGCCTATCCCTCAAACCTGGACCTACTCCAAAATAGTCTCCATCCCAAAACCACTGAAAGACCTCAAAGTAGAATCATACAACCCAATCTCATTAATAAATCAAGACTACAAGATATTCACATCAATCTTGGCTAATCGCCTAAAAAAATTCCTACACAAGTTAATAGCCCCAGATCAGACTGGCTTCATCCCTGGCCACAATATAACAGACCCCATCAGGAAACTACTGAACCTGATCGAACACAGCAAGGCAACCAAACTCCCATTGACAATTATGTCCCTAGACATCCTCAAAGCCTTTGATTGCTTAGAGTGGAAATACATATTAGCAGTACTAACTAACATGAAATTTGACCCCAACTTCTTACAAATCCTCAAACAAATATACTCCCAAGCCTCAGCAAAATGCAGAACTAACAATATGGATTCTAATACTATAGCTATCCAAAGAGGCACGAAACAAGGATGCCCACTGTCTCCCTTCTTATTTATCCTGGCTCTGGAACCCTTAGCAATCCGAATCCGAGCAGCCACAGACATCAAGGAAGTGGAAATAAAAGGCAGAACATATAAATTAGGGCTCTTTGCAGATGACCTAATGGTCACAACACCAGACCCCATAAGCACAGTAACCTCCCTAATCAGAGAACTCAACACATTTGCAATGGTCTCGGGTCTACAGGTAAATTTTACAAAGTCAGAAGCTATGTGCTTCAACACCCCTCCTCACACCCAAAAAGAACTCACGAAGGTCACCAAAATAAAACTTTGCCACACCAAGTTCAGATACCTAGGGGTACAAATAACCAGAAACCTCAATAAATTGTACCTCCACAACTACAAGCCCCTGTGGCGACAAATTAACAAAGTCCTAAAGAGATGGAACAACATGAATTTCACTCTCTCAGACAAAATAGCCATGATCAAAATGATCACCCTCCCCAAACTAACCTACCTATTCCAAACCCTCCCAGTCTGGATTCCCCCAACCCAACTCTGCAGTTGGCAGAGAAAACTACACTCTTTTATCTTCTCACATAAAAAACAAAAGATAAGCCCCAAATACCTGCACCTCCCCACCTCAGAAGGAGGATGGGGAATCCCCAACATAGAAGCATATTACATTGCCAACCAAATATGCCATATAATCCCATATATACTCGAAGATGAGACAAAACAATGGGTACACCTAGAGAGGGACACAATTGAAAATACGTGCACCACAGCATACCCACTCCTCCCAAACAAACTAAAGAAAATTCCCACAACACTTAACAGGTACACACAGACCATGCTCAAAGCATGGAAAACAGAAATAGGCAAACTATCCACAACCCCATCCCCACTAATTCCCCTGGCGTACCACCCATTATTCTACCATGCGGCACAAAACCTCCAGATAAAAACCTGGCAAACCAAAGGCTTATATCGCCTAATAGACTTTTATAAAAATAACAAACCTTTGTCAACACAAGAAATACAAGACAAACTAGAAGACACCCAAATGCCCTGGTTAACACAACACCAAGTACATGCCCTCTTAAACAACCCAACAGTAAAATCAGCAGCAACTAGGCCCCTGACAACCTTCAAAAACCTTCTCCTAACAACAAAGGGAAACGGTAAAGGGATGGTATCTGCAATATACAAAATACTACTCCAAAATCCCACAAACCCCCTAGACGCAATCAAAAAACAATGGGAGAATGACATAGCCTATGAGATTAACCCCACTCAATGGACCAGAATGTGGTCTAAACCCCCCTTTAAATCCATATCAACGAAAAGAAAAGAACTCACTCTGAAACACCTACAAGTGGTACCTAACACCAAGAAAACTAGCACTAATACGCCCAGGAACCTCACCAAAATGCTGGAGAGGGTGCACCTCCACAGGCACATACCTCCACATGTGGCGGGAGTGCCCCAAAATCCAACTATTCAGGACAACAGCCATACGAGAAATATGTAAAATAACTAAGCAAGTATTAGCCACCACCCCAGAATTGGCCCTAAACATCTTCCAAGACAACAATGCCCATTTACACCACAAAGAACTCACAACCCACCTACTTTCAGCAGCCAGAAACACCATAACCAGACACTGGAAAGACCTGTCAGGAGTAAGCATGGACCAATGGTACCAAATAGTATGGAAAACAGCCTTACTAGAAAAATTAACCAATAAACTGAACCTGACACAGGGACAAAGAGAAGAAGACGCCGGTATGGCTCCCCTTTATCACATACACAGCCCAACAAGACAATAACAAGAATCCACCAACAGCATACAAATCAGTATGGCTAACCTGACCCAAAACACCCACCCACCCCACTCACACACAAAAACAAAGATCACCACAGCCAAACGGCCTCGGTCCAGTATATCTGAAGGAGCGTCTCCACCCCCATCGTTCTGCCTGGACACTGAGGTCCAGCTCCAAGGGCCTTCTGGCGGTTCCCTCACGGCGAGAGGCCAAGTTACAGGGAACCAGGCAGAGGGCCTTCTCGGTAGTGGCGCCTGCCCTGTGGAACGCCCTCCCATCAGATGTCAAAGCGATAAACAACTACCTGACATTCAGAAGACATCTGAAGGCAGCCCTGTTCAGGGAAGTTTTTAATATGTGACATTTTAGTGTATTTTTCATCTTTGTTGGAAGCCGCCTAGAGTGGCTGGGGAAACCCAGCCAGATGGGCGGGGTACAAATAATAAATTATTATTATTATCACAAGCAAACAACCACACCCTAGGCCAACCCCAACCTCTCTCGCCACCAAAGAAACACAAATGAACAGCAGAGAACCTGCACAAGCAATCCTGACACCAAACCCTACATACATTAAGCAAAATAGAAACATCGTCACCCGACCCCACCCCCATCCATCTTCCCCCCTCCACCCCTTCCCCACCCCCAGTGTCTCAACAAATGAAACTGATTAGTAAAAATGTTACATGGAAAAAATATGAGAGACATTACACACATTTCTGTAAAACAAGAAAATCTTTTAAAAAAATAATACTAGAGAAATTAACCAATAAACTGAAACTGACACGGGGACAAATAGAAGAAGATATCTTTGCCCTGGTATGGCTCCTCTTTATCACATACGCAGCCCAACAAGACAACGACAAGAATCCACCAACAGCATACAAATCAATATGGCTAACCTGATCCAAAACACCCACCCACCCCACTCACACATGAAAACAAAGTTCATCACAGCCAAACAAGCAATCACACTCTAGGCCAACCCCAACTTCTCTCACCACCAAAGGAACACAAGCAAATAGCAAAGAGAACCTGCACAAACGACGCTGACACAAAACCCCACACATTAAGTAAAATAGAAACACCGCCAACCGCCCACCCCCCTCGCCTTTCCCCCTCCACCTCTTCCCCTCTTTCTTCCTAATGTAACACTAATGTCTCAACAAATGAAACTGACCTGTAGAAAATGTAACTTGAAAAAAGAGACATTGCACATACTTTTGTAAACCAAGAAATCTTTAATAAAAAAATACTTTTTAAAAAAAAATCAGCTCCATTTCTGTTCTGCAATCATTTGTCTTTTGCTTAAACCTATTTATCTGGCTCTCTGCTATGGCTGAGATTTACATAATTAATTAAATCATTAATTTCATTGGAAGGGAAACACTGAAAATAATGTGAAAAAGAGAGTAATTATTTATGTAGTTTGTGGACTAAAAAAAGAAGCAAATACTTGTTAGTCTTTGCTTGCATGTTTTGTGTTACAGTGGTAACCCGAGCGGGTTAAGAACTTAATTCGTTTTGGAGGTCCGTTCTTAACCTGAAACTGTTCTTAACCTGAGGTACCACTTTAGCTAATGGGGCCTCCCGCTGCCCCCGTGCTGCCGCTGCGCGATTTCTGTTCTCATCCTGAAGCAAAGTTCTTAACCCGAGGTGCAATTTCTGGATTAGCGGAGTCTGTTACCTGAAGCGTCTGTAACCTGAAGCGTCTGTAACCCGAGGTACCACTATACTGAACTTTAAGGAACATGTGAATTGTGGGAATTTCTGCTCCTGTTTCCATTTCTGGCAAAATTTCCCAATATCCCTAATGACAACAGTGGCAATCCCTTGCTACCCATCTGGTATTCAGTGGAACAGAAGAACAGTAACCAGCATTTATAGAGCACATTGCAAATGTTCTATTCTCAGGAAGGGTTACAGCAACATTATCACCCATATACTGCACATGGGGCAGAGGTCAAAAGAAAGTGGCTTGACCAAGGCTACTGAGAGAGTTTCTTACTACAATCAGATTTGACCTGTGAACAGCATCTGTGAGCCATGAGCCCTCAAGCCTGCCCCCCACTACAGAAAAGGAGAAATTTGGGGAATTTAGATCAAAACCTGGATACCAGATGCTCCAGCTATTCACTTGCTAACCCACCTGTTTTGTCATTCCATATTCTGCCAAACAATGCTATTCAAATTCCTCAAAATCTACCTGAAGGCTAGAAAAATAATGTTGGAGCCCTTAGCTCAAGTGTGGGGAACCTTCAGCCCTCCAGATGTTGCCAAACTATAACTTTCATCATCCCTGGCCATGAGCCATTCAGGCTGCAGCTGACTGGAGCTGGAACCTAGCAACGTCTGGAGGGTCACATGTACCTGAAGGAGTGTCTCCACCTCCATTGCTCAGCTGGGACACTGAGGTCCAGCTCTGAGGGCCTTTTGGCAGTTCCCTCACTGCAAGACGTAAGGTTACAGGGAACCAGGCAGAGGGCCTTCTTGGTGGTGGCGCCCACCCTGTGGAATGCCCTCCCATCAGATGTGAAGGAAATAAACAACTATCTGACTTTTAGAAGACATCTGAAGGCAGCCCTGTTTAGGGAAGTTTTTTAATGTTTAATGTTTTATTGTGTTTTTAATATAGTGTTGGGAGCTGCCCAGAGTGGCTGGGGAATAAATGAATGAATGAATGAATGAATGAAGATTCCTCATGCCTCAGCTAACCCTATATGAGCTTCACTGCAGCCTCCAACATAAGAATGCTTCAGAATGGATTGAGCCTTTGCTCTGGTGACTCCTTCTGTGGGGAGGAGTTCTCTAAGCAAGGGTTACCCACTGAGGACACCTCTACATAAATCCTGCATGGGCAAAAGGGCCAAATATGTACCACCCTGATCACCAGCCTCTAAATCTGTGATTTCCTACGTATGGATCACTCTGCATTTTCCCAGCGCTGTGCAGATGGGCTTTCTTCTGATGCCTCATGAAGCCTGCTGCCTGACTCTTCAGTTTCCTGAAGGACAATTGCTGCCTCTGCCTCCCTGTCCAACAGCATCTCTCTGTTTCCTCCCTAATTGGTGAGGATGAATGATCCGGAACCACCAGCTAGAAGAAAATAGCATGCAATTAGCTCCTGCAGATAAAGAGCCGGTGTCCTTTGTTGTACGCTGTGAGCTGGCAGCTAGGGACTTGGAGGCAGCCACCTGGCTTCTCCTAGCAGCACATTCTGAGCCTCCTTTCTGCCTGATTAGACCTCAAAGGCAAATGAGGAGCCCTCTCTGGCTTGGTGTTGGCAAACAGTGTGGTTCAGAGCCCTGTCAGGTACAAACATGATTAATCAGGGCCTATTTGTGGCAGCTTATTCATCAGAAAGGAAGGAAGTCTCTGTGGTGCAATGGCCTTAGATAGTGAAGGGAGGATCAGAAGCAGAGTGAGGCACTCCTGAATCTGTTGACCTTGTTGTGTTGGCTTCCTTGTTGGCTGCTCCACATGGCAGGGCAATGCTGGGCCCAGCTCAGGCAGGCCACCAGGGGTGGACTTTGGTCTTTCAAATCTCAGCGGTGCCCTGTGCGAGGCCAAAATTCAGCACCCCCTGCTCCTCACCTTCCGTTCTGCTCAGTTCACTGCATCATAGTTGCAACGGCTGTGGCACCTCCTAGACCTGGCACTTTGTGCGGCAGAACCAGTCTCATTGCCCTAAATCTGCCTCCAAGGCCTTGCTGATGATGAGCAGCTGCCATGTGGGATGAGCTGTTCAGGGGCAGAAGGCAACCTTCTCTATGAAGTACCTTCAACCCAGCCTGGATTGACTTCACCCACCCCCAGGCTGTCCTTTGGTTTCTCCTGGACAGGAAGAAATACAGTCGTACCTTGGAAGTTGAACAGAATCCATTCTCGAAGTCCGTTTGACTTCCAAAGCCTTCGAAAACCAAAGCTCAGCTTCTGATTGGCTGCAGGAAGCTCCTGCAGCCAATCGGAAGCTGCAGAAGTCCCGTCAGATGTTCGGCTTCCAAAAGAACGTTCGATAACTGGAACAGTCACTTCTGGGGTTTGATTGTTCAGGAGCCAAAATGTTTGAGAACTAGGCTGTTCGAAAACTAAGGTACGACTATATAAAGAGCTTCCTATTACAGATTAGATTTGCTGGAAAAATATGGTCTTTCCAAGACCAACTGTTCTAGTGCACAGTCATTTAGTGTATCTAGAAATGTAATCTCTTTGTCATGACTGGAACACATATGTCTACATGAGGGTAGTGAGTTTTTTTTAATAAACTGTATTACAAAAGTAACTATAAACATAGATTACTCCCTCCCCCCATGAACAGTGCTTCAGGATTCAAATTACATTTTAAAAATTATAATACATTCCACAAGTAGAATAGCAGATTGTAGAATTGTAGAGTTGAAAAGGACCAGAAGGGTGATCTGATCCAATCCCCTGCAAGGAAGGAATATTTTTGCCCAATTGGGGGCTCAGACCCATGACCCTGAGAAGAGAGTCTCATGCTTTACTGATGGAACTATCCAGGTTTAAGAATTTTCTATTCAACGTAATATTCAGTCTGTTGCAATGCATAATAATAAATTTTCATTTAAAGCGTTCATTTACAATGAGGGTAGTTGAAGTCACCCATTAATACAACATCTCCTCTTTGGGAAATTCTTCATTAATTTACAGAGGCTGATTTTCAGTCCTTAGCTACTTCAGGGTTTAAGTTGACTCCAAGATGGAGAAGCAGACTCATGGTAGGTGGTGGAGCCTCTGGCTTGAGTGGAAGCAAAAGCAGTAATACATAATGCAAACATGGAACCAGAAGCTATTTTCTGATGAGAAAGCACAGAGTTAAGCCCAAATCCTCAGAAACATAATTTAAATATTTATTATTATTATTGTTGTTGTTAATAATACCTCACCCATCTGGCTGGGTTTCCCCAGCCACTCTGGGCAGCTTCCAACAAAGACCCAAAAATACACTAAAATGTCACACATTATTATTATTTTTTATAAGATATTTATTAGATTTTTTAAAAATATTACAATAAAAAATGAAAAAGAAAAAAAATACAAAATAAAAATGATTAAAAACACTCAGATTTTCCATTGCTTATTTTTCTTTAGTTTGTTTCCCGGACCTCCTCATACCTCCCTTTTTTGTATTCCAGTTCAGTTTGTTGGTTCAGCAAATCCTTACCCTCTTTGTTTATCCTAATCTTTGGTCTTAAAATAATAACATTAGATTTTTACCTCTTAATAACCCCTTTTTCATATTCCCTTAAAGCATTACAGCTAGAAACCAAAATTTCCCAATATTTCGGCCATTTGGCCTCCATATTGAGCTTTTTCAGAGCTTTTGCTTCCATCGGTGACAACCACCTTGGAGTTTTATTTTCCAATAAGTCCTTGTATCTTATCCAGACATTAAACAATGCTTTCCTGACGATGTGATTTTTAAATGCTTTGTGTGCTTTGACCTTATCATACCACAGATATGCATGCCATCCAAATACATTGTTAAAACCTTCTAAATCCAAAATGTCAGTGTTTTCAAGAAGCAACCATTCTTTCAACCAGCAGAAAGCTGCTGATTCATAGTAAAGTTTAAAGTCTGGCAGGGCAAATCCACCTCTTTCCTTTGCATCTGTTAATATTTTAAATTTTATTCTAGGCTTCTTGCCCTGCCAGACAAATCTAGAAATATCTCTCTGCCACCTCTTGAAACAATCCATTTTGTCCACAATTTGCAATGTTTGAAACAAAAACAACATTCTAGGCAATACATTCATTTTTACCGCAGCAATACGGCCCAGCAGTGAAAGCTTCAAATTTGACCAAATTTCCAAATCTTTTTTCACTTCAGCCTAGCATTTTTCATAGTTGTCTTTAAATAAGTTCCCATTTTTTGCTGTCATGTTAATCCCCAAATATTTAACTTTCTTAACCACTGTTAAACCTGTCTCATTCTGAAACCTCTCTCTCTCCATTGGTGTTAAAGTTTTCTCTAAAACCTTGGTCTTTAACTTATTCAACTTAAATCCTGCAACTTGACCAAATTCTTGAATCAGTTCTAAAACTCTTTTGGTACTAGATTCTGGCTCCTGTAACGTCAATACTAAGTCATCTGCAAATGCTCTCAGTTTGTACTGTTTGGCTCCGACCTGTATACCTTTAACCAACCGGTCCCTTCTAATCATGTTCAGCAGAACCTCCAGGACCGATATAAAAAGCAATGGGGAAAATGGGCAACCTTGTCTTGTCCCTTTTTCTATCTTAAATTCTTCCGTCACCACATTATTTACAATTAGTTTAGCCTTTTGCTCTGAATAAATTGCACTTATACCGTTTTCAAAACCTTGGCCTACCCCCATCCCCTGTAGGTTCTTCTTCATAAAACTCCAAGAGATATTATCAAAAGCTTTCTCCGCGTCCACAAATATCAAAACAGCTTTGGTATTTATGTTCACTTCTAGTTTTTCCAAAATATCAATTATATTCCTCAAATTATTGGACAAGTGTCTTCCCGGGAGAAAGCCCACTTGATCTTTATGAATCTCTTCCATCAATACTTTTTTCAATCTCTTGGCCAAAATGTCTGCAAAAATTTTGTAATCCACATTGAGTAAGGATATGGGGCGGTAGTTCTTAAGCTGAGTCTTTTCAGTCTCTGTCTTCGGTATAAGTGTAATGTACGCCTCTTTCCAAGACTCTGGTGCTCTTTTCCCTTCCAATATTTCATTGCAGACTTCCTTTAAAGGTTGTAATAGCCACTCTTTCAAAGATCTATAATATCTAGAAGTCAGCCCATCCGGTCCTGGAGATTTGCCTAATTGCATGTTTTGAATGGCACCTTCTACTTCCTGTTCAGATATTTTGTAATTCAGCATTAATTTACTTTCTTGGGATATTTTTTGTAATCCATTTGTCTTCAGAAATCGGTCTATATCCATTTCCTTCTGTGGCCCTTGTGTATATAGTTGTTTAAAATACCTCTGGAAACAATTTCTAATCTCAGTTGGGTTATGTATATTCTTTCCTTCCACTTCTAAATTTGTAATAGTATTTAGTTTTTGTCTTTTTTTCATTTGCCAGGCCAGCAATTTCCCACATTTGTTGGCTGATTCAAATGTTTTTTGTCTCATTTGTTTAATTTTCCATTCTATTTCTTGATTCATCATTTCCATATATTGTACTTGATATAACTTTATTTCTCTCAAAATCTCCTGCGACTTTGGTTTTGCTCTCAATTTCTTTTCACTTTCTTTTATTTTCCCCAAAATTTTATCTTTCTTCTCATTTTGACTTCTCTTCTTTATTGCATTCTGTTGTATCAGAAACCCTCTCATAACAGCTTTACTTGCGCCCCAGATTACTCTTTTTTCTACATTAGTATTCATATTTATTTCAAAATAGTCTCTCAAGGTTTAGAATCATAGAATCATAGAATCATAGAGTTGGAAGAGACCACAAGGGCCATCAAGTCCAACCCCCTGCCAAGCAGGAAACACCATCAGAGCACTCCTGACATATGGTTGTCAAGCCTCTGCTTAAAGACTTCCAAAGAAGGAGACTTCACCACACTCCTTGGCAGCAAATTCCACTGTCGAACAGCTCTTACTGTCAGGAAGTTCTTCCTAAGGTTTAGGTGGAATCTTCTTTCTTGTAGTTTGGATCCATTGCTCCGTGTCCGCTTCTCTGGAGCAGCAGAAAACAACCTTTCTCCCTCCTCTATGTGACATCCTTTTATATATTTGAACATGGCTATCATATCACCCCTTAACCTCCTCTTCTCCAGGCTAAACATGCCCAGCTCCCTTAGCCGTTCCTCATAAGGCATCGTTTCCAGGCCTTTGACCATTTTGGTTGCCCTCCTCTGGACACGTTCCAGTTTGTCAGTGTCCTTCTTGAACTGTGGTGCCCAGAACTGGACACAGTACTCCAGGTGAGGTCTGACCAGAGCAGAATACAGTGGCACTATTACTTCCCTTGATCTAGATGCTATACTCTATTGATGCAGCCCAGAATTGCATTGGCTTTTTAGCTGCCGCTCACTGTTGGCTCATGTCAAGTTTGTGGTCAACCAAGACTCCTAGATCCTTTTCACATGTACTGCTCTCAAGTCAGGTGTCCCCATCTTGTATTTGTGCCTCTCATTTTTTTGCCCAAGTGCAATACTTTACATTTCTCCCTGTTAAAATTCATCTTGTTTGTTTTGGCCCAGTTCTCTAATCTGTCAAGGTCGTTTTGAAGTGTGATCCTGTCCTCTGGGGTGTTAGGCACCCATCCCAGTTTGGTGTCATCTGCAAATTTGATCAGGATGCCCTTGAGTCCATCATCCAAGTCGTTGATAAAGATGTTGAATAAGACCGGGCCCAAGACAGAACCCTGTGGCACCCCACTAGTCACTCTTCTCCAGGATGAAGAGGAACCATTGATGAGCACCCTTTGGGTTCGGTCAGTCAGCCAGTTACAAATCCACTGAGTGGTAGCATAGTCAAGACCGCATTTTACCAGCTTCTTTACAAGAATATCATGGGGCACCTTGTCAAATGCCTTGCTGAAATCAAGGTAGGCTACATCCACTGCGTTCCCTTCATCTACCAGGCTTGTAATTCTGTCAAAAACGAGATCAGGTTAGTCTGACATGACTTATTTTTCAGAAATCCATGCTGACTATTGGTGATCACAGCATTCCTTTCTAGGTGCTCACAGACTGTTTGCTTAATGATCTGCTCCAGAATCTTCCCTGGTATTGATGTCAGACTGACTGGGCGGTAATTATTTGGGTCCTCTCTTTTCCCCTTTTTGAAAATAGGGACAACATTTGCCCTCCTCCAGTCTGCTGGGACTTCGCCTGTTCTCCAGGAATTCTCAAAGATGACTGCCAGTGGTTCTGAGATCACAGGGGCACAGTTACCCCATTCAGGATCAGGGAGTCCTCCACACCAGCCTGCCCTCTGTCCCCCAAGAACAGTACTTCTGTCTTGTCAGGATTCAACCTCAATCCATTAGCCGCCATCCATCCTCCAACTGCCTCCAGGCACTCACACAGGACCTTCACCGCCTTCACTGGTTCTGATTTGAAAGAGAGGTAGAGCTGGGTAGCATCTGCATATTGTTGGACACCCAGTCCAAACCCCCTGATGATCTCTTCCAGTGGCTGCATGTAGATGTTAAAAAGCATGGGAGAGAGGATGGAACCCTGAGGCACCCCACAAGTGAGGGCCCAGGGGTCAGAACACTCATCCCCCACCACCACTCTCTGAACACGGCCCAGGAGGAAGGAGCGGAACCACTGTATAACAGTGCCCCCAGCTCCCAGCCCCTTTAGACAGTCCAGAAGGATGCTATGGTCAATTGTATCAAAGGCCGCTGGGAGATCCAGCAGAACTAAGAAACAGCTCTCACCTTTGTCCCTAGCCCACCGGAGATAATCAACCAGCGCAACAAGGCAGTTTGAGTCCCATGATCAGGCCTGAATACTGACTGGAAGGGATCCAAATGGTCTGCATCCTCCAGGCGTGCCTGGAGTTGTTCAGCAACCACCTGCTCAATCACCTTGCCCAAGAATGGTAGATTTGAGACTGGACGATAGTTGGCCATATTGGCCGGGTCTAAAGATGTTTTTTAAGAAGCTGTTTAATGACCGCCTCTTTCAGCACGTCTGGGATGTCTCCCTCGCAGAGGGAAGCATTCACCACCCCGCAGAGCCCATCACCCAGCCCTTCCCGGCTTGCTTTTATCAGCCAGGATGGGCAAGGATCAAGGAGACAGGTGGTTGGTTTCACGCATCCAAGCAGCCTGTCCACATCCTTGGGGATAACGGATTGGAATTGATTCCATGCAACTTGACTAGACAGGGCTCTAGCACTCTGCCCCCCCGGCCCTGCTCCCACAGTGGTGTCTACCTTCTTTTGAATATGAGCGACTTTATCTGCAAAAAACTTTGCAAAATCGTTGCAGGAGATCTTGGGGTCTTTACAAGGCCCCGGTGGTAAAGGTGGTTCCGTTAAATTGCGAACCACCTGAGTCTAGCCCTGACGTGGGCACTGAATCAGATGTTACAATGTCACTAGGAAAGGAACTGAGCCAGGTTCCTGGTTTTGAGCCTGATTCTAGTGATTGGGGAGGCGGGGGGCGGGAATAATGAATCTGAGGTTGACAAGCTGGAAGGAACCTGTGGAACCTGATCCCCCACCCCCCATGGCACTATAGCAGCCAGTGTCTTTAAAAAACACAAAAGTCCTAGACTTGTAGAATCTGGAATGCTGTAAAGTTCTAGCTCTTGCATTTCATCCATTTTCCTGTGACTCAGTAAAAGGCAGCTTCCTGTGTCCTTGGCTGATGTTGCCCAGCAGCCCCATCTGGGCCAGGAGGCAAGACTGGGGATGAGCAGCATCCAACCTAGGGGGGCTCTTGGTGGGGCAAGGGACTCTCCTTCCAGAGCATGGGCCTCAGCTATTGCCCAACCATCCCTGTCTGTGTCATCAGTGCTGCTGGGTTCTGGTTTGCTGACTTGATTCCGGTGCCAGGAGCATAGCAAGTGCAAATATAATGATGTATTAATGACCAATATAATTTCAAATTAATTAAGAAGCTACTAATTTTCTCAGCAGGGGAGCCTCCTGGAAGAGATTGCTGTTTTAGTAATGGCACCAGTGAATCCTTTTTCATTACATTATCCTTTTTCCAGACAGCATGATATTGTTCCATTAATCTGTTTGCCCAAAGTGGAATGATGGGAGGTGTGTGTGTGTGTGTGTGTGTGTGTGTGAGAGAGAGAGAGAGAGAGAGAGAGAGAAAGGGCAGGCACAGGACTGCGAGATGAGAGCAGACTGTGAACAAGGGGAGGAAGGCTGCTGTCGCACCGCAGCAGAGCTGCCCCAGACTCCCTGCCTGAAACTTTGAAGAGCTGCTCCCAGCCAGGGACCAAAGGCTGTTCCCTAGATGCTGTTGCCTAGTGCTGCTGTGTGCATGAAGGCACGAGACTGGGATTGTGTAAGAAAGGGCAGAGTGTGCCAGTTTGTGATACGTGCGCCTCAGGGTAGCCAAGGTGCTCCTGCATGTTTAAAAGCTGTGAAAAGGGAGAAGGGTTTTCAGCTGGAGTGGCACAGCTGCAGGTAGAGCAATCATTAAAGATTCAGGACCAGCCTAATAAGCCTCTGCGTGCAGATGTTTCTTAGTGCAGGCAAATGGGTGCTCTCAGAGTTGCCAGCTGATGGGCAAAACCATGGCTTTTACTTTTTAAAATTGCAATTACAGTGGTACCTCGCAAGACGAATGCCTCGCAAGACGGAAAACTCGCAAAACGAAAGGGTTTTTGGTTTTCTGAGTTGCTTTTTCAAGACGATTTTCGCTATGGGCTTGCTTCGCAAGACGGAAACGTCTTGCAAGTTTGTTTCCTTTTTCTTAAAACCGTTAATACAGTTGCGACTTGACTTCGAGGAGCAACTCATAGCACGCGGTGTGGTAGCCTTTTTTGAGGTTTTTGAAGACTTTGGTGATTTTTGAAGCTTTTCCAAAACTTTTCCGACACCGTGCTTCGCAAGACGAAAAACACCGCAAGACGAAAAAACTCGCGGAACGAATTAATTTCGTCTTGCGAGGCACCACTGTACAAGAAAAAGGAAGGGGTGGAGGGAGGGCACCATCCCATAAGCATCAGCAGTCCCCATTAACAGTACAAATAATCTGTTCAAAAAGAGAACAATTCATCAAACCTAACAAGCAAATATATCAATACAAGAAGTTAATCTGTCCAAATAAGTATCCCAATGAGATTGCTGATTTTAAGATAGGTGTTCAAAAGTGGAAAGTCCACTGGGTAATAGGTGGTGGGTCTTTAGCCTTCTGACCTTGAAGTATCCGGCCACATTCACACAGCACATTGAAAGCACAACGAGGCCACTTTAAACAGGGGTGGCTTCCCCACCCCAAGAACCCTGTGAAGTGCAGTTTGTTAAGAGTGCTGAGTTTTCCTCATAGAGCTACAAGTTGCAGAGTTCACTGTGAAGTGGGATTGACTGCTAAACTGCTCTGTAAACTGCAGCTCTAAGAGGATAATAGGGATCTCCTAACAGCTCTCAGCACCCTCCATCAACTACAACCATGACTCTTTAAGGTGGTACCGTATTATGGTGTGGATGTGGCCTCGGCCTCTTTCAGGGCTTGTGGGGTTCATCTGTTGGTCACCCACAACACAGGGATATATTGCAGGAAGTGGTGAACATTCCAAAGTACCAATTTCCTCCAAAACACAGTTTATACAGGTCATGGAGCTAATGATTATCAAAATAGCTCTTATACATCTGGGAAATTCTGGACATGTACAGAAATTGGACGCCTAAAATGGTGTCTGGGGTGGGGGTGGGACAGGGAGTTTTTAATGTTAAGAGATATCCTGTATTTCCTAAACATATGGTGACCTGGGTTTTTTCAGTTTTCTGTTTTCCCCCTGGTTTTTTATTTTTCTAGGGGAGGCGGTGTCCTGGTGGCAGTGGAAGTGACAAGAGGTCACTTCCCTTGGCGGGGGGGAGGGGAGGGAGAGGGAGGAGGGGGGAGGGAGGGAGGAAGGCAATGCAGCAGCCTAGCTGCCCCTAGCATGCCAGGGGCTTCCCACGGGTGGCTCAGTCACAGCAGCAGTGAGAAAGGGTCTGTAGCTGGATGTTTGGGAGCTGCTGGCGTGATCACCTTGCCCGAGGGGGTTGAGGTGGTGGTGCTGGTTCGGCTTGCCCGCTGGGTACATGGCGGCAGGCACGTCCTCGTGTTGCCAGGGTGGGCTGCAGCCGCTCAGGGCCACTGCCCTCTTCCAGCTGCAGCATTGTCAGGGCAGAGATGGGGGCCGGGCAGGTAATGGGGTGTGTGTGCAGGAAAGAGTTTAAACAAGAGCTGGATAGCGAGGGAAGGAAACTGTGAGGAAGGGGAACAAAACCCACTGTGGTAAGTTCGAGGTCATGGGGGGAGAAAGGTAGCCGTGTCTCACTACATGTTTCTAGGGGCTGTTGGGGGCCTGTGTAGCTGGGTGGGGTATAGTAGAGAGGAAAGTAAGGTGGGGGGCTGTGTAGGAGAAAGGGGTGCATTAGGGTCTGGCTGGCTTTTTTAGGGGGGTTCCAGGTCCCCCCAGGCTTTTGTAGCAGCTGTGGTCCAGGTCCAGATGGAGCAGCCATCCTGATATTTGCAAAAAGTTGGGGTGGGTGGGAAGCAGGTTTGTTGCACAGAAATGCCAAAATTGGTTTTAACTGTGGAACCTGAATTTGTGGGTATGTGATTGAACCCTACCCCATATTGCCACAATCTGAAAGCGTCCCAGGTCTCCAGCTATGCCAGCCTGCAGGCGGGGAAGGAAAACAGATGGCACAGCTGCCTTTCCTCCTGCGTCATTGTGAGAGTCTTGGCAGAAGGGGGTGTCCCGTTTCCTACGCATGACACATGCTAAAAACACGTGATTGGCAGTTCTGTTCTCCCAAAGTCATTGGCTGCACTGCTGTGATGTCATGGAATGTTCAGGGCAATTCTAACTGATCCGAGGGAAAACCTTCGGTATAACAGCATGTTGACAAAAGTACAATTACTGCAAGGGAAGAAAGCAGTAATTCGCCTTACAAATTTCAAGACCAGAAGCAACCAAGTCAAAATGAGCTAGTACTCTCGCCTGGAGCTTTGCTGCTAAAATGCCACACATGCGGAGCAATTAGAGGCAGGAAAATATAAGGCCTCCTTCTCCCGCAGTCGTTGCCTGAAGATGCTGCTTAAAATTGAACTGAACTGAACTCAGCTGCTCCGCATTACTTCATCATAAAGCCAGCAGTGAAGGCCAGGTTTGACTAGGAAAAACTCTTAAATGAATAAGCGATGACAAAGAGGACTGCAAGAGATTGCAAGCTGAAAGATGCAGGAGACAAAAAGAGGTACTGGAGGCAGCCTAGGGGAACAGGGAAGAGCATTGTGCTGTTGGCTGGAGGGCAGCAGATAGGGAAAGGAGGTTGGTGGGCTGGCTGTGTGCTTGTGGGTCAGGGAGACCAAAGCAGCAGTGAGACTGAATTTCCCATACTGGATTGAACTAGCCAACTGCTTCTTGGCCTTTAGTCCTTGCTTTATCAGAGCTGCAATGGTATAGAGGCCCCCAAACAGTAACACAGGGTGATGGCTGGGCCCCTTAGGAATCTGCTAATGGAAGTCAGATGAGGATAGGAAGGAAATAATTCCGGGAAGTTCAGACACTTTTCTCAGAAAATACAAGGGCTGCCTCATGCAGTCCCTGTTCCACCTTTTCTGCCCATCACTTGCCTGCCTAATTCAAAACCCAGGATTTTTAATACTGCCACAGAGGCTTAGGGGGGTTTATCTGACGCGAACACAGCAGAGCCTTTTGTACTTGGGCAATGACAGCCCCGTAGAGCTCGTTATCTGCAGATCTGGAGTTAATTGCCTGGTGGGAGTGGGGAGGAAGGTGACTCATTCCAAAGCTGTTTATTAATACTCATTCGACCAGCACTGAGCAGAAATCCTGAGAGAGGGAGGTGGGCCATAGAATGTAAGCATCAGGGGAACTGGAGGAGGGGCTGGTGGGGATCCATATGCTTAGAAAATGAGGACAGGGAACGTGCAGTACAGCTTGCCCATGGGGCAGGTGGGATATTTGTCCCAAGTACCAAACATGAAGGGGACGCTGTGTAGGCATCCCTACTGATGTGACTACAAACCTTTGCAGCTGCATCCCCTGGCAAAGGTGCTGATATGTCCAGTAGGTGTAAAGGCTTTTGGAGGAGTTGCAGTGTAGATGAAACATTGGGGTGTGGGGGTGTGAAACATGGCATATTAAGTTCCAACTTTAGGTTTTCAGAAAAGTACTACCCCCTTCCCTGATGTGTTAATGAGGTGGAACAAGGGCAGGTTGAGCAAGAATAATTATTTGCTGAGTGAGGGGTGGAGGCAGGGCATCTCACCCAGTGGATTATCATGGTTAAGACCTGGCAGAAGTGTGGTGTAGTGGTTAAGAGCGGTGGACTCGTAATCTGGGGAACCGGGTTCGATTCCTCGCTCCTTCACATGCAGCTGCTGGGTGACCTTGGGCTAGTCACATTTCTTTGATTTCTCTCAGCCCCACTCACCTCACAGAGTGTTTGATGTGGGGGAGGAAGGGAAAGGAGATTGTTAGCCGCTTTGAGACTCCTTTGGGTAGTGATAAAGCGGGATATCAAATCCAAACTCCTCCTCCTCCTCCTCCTCCTCCTCCTCCTCCTCCTCCTCTTCTTCTTCTTCTTCTTCTTCTTCTTCTTCCATAGGTTTCACTCTGGGTCCTCCCCCCCCCGTAAAGTCCAGCAAATCCCTGTAAGTTGCCCATTGTCTATCCAAATCTACTCTCTTGATTGTAATTGCTTCAATGGGAGATAGTCATAAGGGTGTTTTCTTTTCTAACAGATTTTTTTATTTCTCCCAGACTCTGTACAAATTCTTCCTAATAATGTGGTTCATAAAATGCATACCAAAGGCATGCATGCCAGCCAAATTTTAAATCTTGGCCTTCCAGATCTAATATGTCTGCATTTTTATTTATTTATTGGGTTTTATAAACAAGAATAATGTTATACAAATAAGTATACCAAATTTTCTCATATCATATGTATATCACAAAAATAGCATAATAAATGTGGAAAAATATCTACAACATATATTTCATTATTGGTGGTCAATGTATAAGTTATTGGTTCATGAATTGGTTTAAACAATTAGGAAGAAGAAGAAGAAAGGGAGGAGGGGAGGGGGAGGGTGGAGGGTCGTTATGCTTCTATTATTCCTTTGGGGGGGTGTGTTGTGTCAGCATCACTTGTATGGGTTCTCTTACTATTCACTTGTTGTATTTCCTTGGTGGTGAGAGAGGTTCGGGGTGGGGTGGTTGGTTGTCTTTGGTTGGCTGTAGTGAGAATTGTTTTTGTGTGTGAGTGGGGTGTGAATGTGTATTTTTTAATCAGGCTAGCCAGATTGATTTGTATGCTGTTGATGGATTCTTGTCGTTGTCTTGTTGGGCTGCGTATGTGATAAAGGGGAGCCATACGGGGGTGAAGGCATCTTCTATTTGTCCCCATGTCAGTTTCAGTTTGTTAGTTGGTTTTTCTAGTAGGGCTGTTTCCCATACTATTTGATACCTTTGGTCTATGCTTACTCCTGACAGGTCTCTCCAGTGTCTGGCTATGGTGCTTCTGGCTGCTGAGAGTAGGTGAATTATGAGCTCTTTGTGTTGTGAGTGGGCATTATTGTCTTGGAAGATATTTAGTAGGGCCAGTTCTGGGGTGACTTCTAATACTTGCTTAGTTATTTTGCAGATTTCTTGTATTATTGCTGTCCAGAAGAAATATATGCATTTTCATGCACACTCCCTCCAAATTTATGTATTTTTGTACCATTTAGCTGTAGAACGACATTGCAAAATTCAAAGAGATGCAAATTTCAAAAAAGGTGTGGTTTAGTTTGCATATTGGTTTGAGAAGTGTGAATTAGGTAGCTTTTTGCTACAATGCAAGCAAAAATCAACTTCCTCCATCCACTCACATAGTCCTTCATCATCATATGTACATTTGAGCTCACACAGGTGCCTGCTTTTGGCCCACTGAATTTTCTAAAGCACTCTCTGGCTGTTGGCTGCCCCAGTGACCTTCCATTCTTCACTGTAGGATGCTGCAGAGTGTCAGCCATGGGGCACCCCAGTTTGCACAGAGATTCAGCATTCATTCACAGCAGGAGATGTGCCCCAGAAAGTTCACCTTAATGAGTATTGTAAACCACAAAAAGTTCTTTTTTAGTTTATTGCTGTCAGGGGTTCAGGGAGAGAGGCACAGGGTAGGCAGGAGATGGAGAGCGATGGGGAGGAATTCCAAGCCAGCGAGGAAGAGGATGACAATGACTCAAGAGATTCCATGAGTCTTTCCAGCGAATCAGAGGATTCCCAGAAGGGGGCGCCGGTGGTCAAGGCCAGGGAGCCCCAGGGGGGAAGTGTCAGGAGCAGGGTGCCAGCGGAGGATCCCAAAGTGGCAGCTGGGCGTCAGGACCAGCCTCCCCACCAGAGTGCAGCGAAGGGGGTGGAGTTTCCAGTGTGTCAGAGGAAGCAGCTCCAGCAGCAGAGAAAGGAGGGGGGTCCGAGCAAGCCGCCCTCCCGGAAGGGGAGGGGAGCAGTGAAGGGAGTAGTGTAACTGTCAAAAGGACAGTTAGAGGTTTGGCGCGCGCGCCTAGTTCAAATGTAGAGGCGCGCGGAAGTGCAGGGAGCCCGGAGGAGGGGCCAGGTCCCAAAGCCCGCAGGATGGGGGAAGAGCAGTCTGGGGATTCCGCGTCAGAGGAATCCAGGAGGGGCGAAACCCCAGTGGGCAGAAGGACCCTGCGGAAAAGGAAGGAGAGAAAGAGGTGGAGCAGCGCAAGTCTCTTAAATTGGTGCAGGGGAGGAACTGACTCAGAGGGGACTTCGGCGGTCTAGCGTAAGAGACGTAAGGCTGCGCGCCTAGGATGTCAAGCAAACCATGAACTGCAATAAACACTTTTGTATATAAGAAGACAGAGGCGTTGGTCTTTTGTGAGCTAAGACTTGAGGCAGCCTTGACAGTAAGTCCCCTTCTCCACAAAAAAAACCGCAAAATTTTTTTTTGCACAGCTCACGAAGTTTGGCAGCAATGACTACTGAGGAGCAGATAGCGTCCCTGCAAAACGCAGTCACCGAGCTCTCCACTGCTGTCGTGGTTTCTCAGAAGACAGTTGCTGAAGCAGAAGCGCGATGCCAGGATCTGCAAGCCAGGTGGGATCGGGCGTGCAGAGAGGGGTTCCCGGGTTCCAGATCAGAGGGAATCGGACTCGGACGGAGGGGGGGCAATTTAGTAGCCCACTTCGATGGGAACCTGAAGCATTATCCCAATTTCAGAGCAGACGTCGTATACGCACTGCATTTACTTCGAAAAGACTTCAAAGATGAGGAGGAAAAGTGGGGTTTATCGTGTCTCATCTGCATGGGGAAGCAAGAAACTGGTTACGCAATTTGTGGCGCGAAGATGGTCTTGCACGCAGGGACTCTGATGAATTTCTCAAAGCCATGGACGCTTGCTTCCAATCTACTGTTGACGTTGATGTGGCACGCCAGGAGATGCATGGATTGCGGCAGGGCAAGGCTACAGTGCGTCAGTACCATTCTCGCTTTTTGCATTGCTGAATGTGCTGGGCTGGGAAAAGGACTCCCTGGCAGTGAGGGACTTGTTTTGGGAAGGGCTTCATGGCTCAGTGAAAGATGAGCTGGCTAGGGGAGACAGACCTCAAACCCTAGCAGAAGTCGTGCAGAGGGCACTCACGATAGGGGTGCGCCAAGAAGAACGCCCTTGGCACAGGGAGGAGGGGCGTCACGTCCGCCCACCAGCTAGAGCGCCTCCTTTTCCTTCCAGGGACTTGGAACGTTCAAGCCTTCGCCTGTGCTGGCAGCGGGGGAAGAACCGATGGAACTGGGTGGTGCAAAGGCTCAGACAGCTGCCGGAGCCTCAGCGTCAGGAGCAGTCAAAGCGAAGCCTCCTAGAGGGACCAGGAAGTGTTACATCTGTGACAGTGCACGGCACATGGCTAAAGAGTGTCCCCAGAGGCTCCAGAAGCACACTGCAGCCTTAGCAACAGTAACAGGGGAAGCTTCCAAGGGGAGCAGTTTCAGGGAAACGAGAATGCCTGGTTGGAGGGAGAGACGCTGGGGCTCCGCCAGGCAAGTCAGTGAAGCAGTCCCCAGCGCTTTGCAGCCTACAGACCCCTTACCACCTAAGCCAGTGGTGCAGCTCACTGCTACTCTCCAGCTGCCTAATGGACTCACCCTGGAAGTCCCCATTACGATTGACTCAGGGAGCAACGCAGACTTCGTGGGGGTGCAGTTCGTCAAGCAGCATCGCATAGCCTTACTACCAGCCACGCTGCCTCTGAATGTGGTCACTGTAGATGGCAGGAAGTTGCTGGGTGGGCAAGTGGTACAACAGACGCCACCCATGCTGCTGAAAATTGGGAATCATCGCGAGGTCATCAGTTTCAATGTCACCCAACTGTCAGACACGCCCATAGTGTTAGGCATGAGTTGGCTGGATAGACACAGCCCATCCTTGGCGTGGTACCAGCGGCAGCTCACCTTTGGCTCTGTCCTACTGTGCACAACATTGCATCCAGATCGGCCAGGACGAGGAGGGAACAGGAGGAAGGGCAACAGCTGCATCTAGGCATGGTGCAGGCAGTGCCCCACAAGTACAAGGGGTTTTGGAGGTCTTCTGCGAGAAGGAAGCTGACCAATTACCACCCCACCGGCCCTACGACTGTGCAATTGACCTCTTACCAGGGGCGACGCTGCCGACTGCGAAGCTGTATTCCATGTCTGAAGATGAGATGCAGGAGCTCAGGGAGTTCATAGATCACAATTTGAAGAGGGATTCATCCGAGAATCCAAGGCAGTGGGGGCAGTCCTGTGTTTTTCGTGAAGAAGAAGGACACGCCCCAAAAACGGCTCATTGTGGACTATAGGGCCATAAACTCGATGACAAAACCCAAGGCTTTCCCCATGCCCAAGATTGACGACCTGCTCGCGACGGTGAGGAAGGGGAGGATCTTCACCAAGTTGGATCTACGCGGAGCCTACAATCTCATACGCATGAGGGAAGGTGACGAGTGGAAGACGGCCATGTTCACGCCGCTGGGCACCTATGAATACAGAGTTATGCCGATTGGTCTCCAAGGTGGCTCCCACTGCTTTCAAGCATTCATGCACCACGTGCTAGCAGGACTCCTCTACAAGAAGTGCGTATGCTTTCTCGACGATATTCTGATCTTCTCAGAATCGCAGGAGACTCACGAAAGAGACGTAAAGGAGGTCTTGCAGAGGCTACGGGAGCACAGACTCTATGCCAAGCTGGAGAAGTGCCAGTTCGACGTGACGGAGGTGGATTTCCTGGGCTACCGGCTGTCCGACAAGGGATTAGCCATGGACAGCGCCAAGGTCCGCGCGGTGTTGGACTGGAATAGCCCGCGCAATCGGAAGGAGGTCCAGAGGTCTGCCGGCTTCGCCAACTTTTACCGCAAGTTCATCAGGGGTTTCGCGAAAGAGACGGCAGCTATCACGGACACCCTCAGTTCCAAGAAGAAAAAGTTCACCTGGACGGACCAGGCGGAGCAGTCCTTCAGGAGACTTAAGAGTCTCTTCGCGTCCGAAGACCAGCTGCTACACGTGAATCCCGGCAGGCCCATGCGGGCTGAGACTGACGCATCTGACAGAGCAGTGGGGGCCGTCCTCTTGCAGGAAGATTCGCAAGAGAACTGGAGGCCCTGCGCTTTCTATTCCCGGAAGCTCAGCAAGTCGGAACAGAACTACACCATCTGGGACAGGGAGTTGGTGGCCATCCACGCGGCTTTCAAGGCGTGGCGGCACTTCCTCATCGGAGCCAAGCACACCGTGCAGGTCCGCACGGACCACAAGAACCTAGAGTATTGGCGCACGGCGAAGCTCCAGAGCCAGAGGCACATGAGATGGGCGGAGTTCTTTGCGGATTTCGATTTCCGGATAGAGTATATCCCGGGAGACAACAACGCCATAGCGGATGCGCTCTCCAGGAAACCGCAGTATCTTGAGGAAGCGGCACCAGTGGCAGCCAGGCACATTTTTGCACCGCAAGCGTGGGCGTGCGCTCTGCCGCCGTGGACCTGGACGCGGTACGACGCGCGTTACAGACGGATCCGCTTGCTCAAGCCCAGATGGAGGAGGTGCGAAGAGGGACAGCAAAGGACGGCGAATTCCAGATACGCGACGGCCTGCTGACCCGCAAAGGTGCTCTCTACGTCCCGGGAGACGATCTCCGAGCGAAGGTTTTACAGCAGTTACACGACGCAAGGAGAAGACGGCGGACTTAGTAGCCAGGGACTTTTGGTGGCCCCAGATGCGGGGAGAAGTCGCGGATTACGCCGCCAGGTGTGACACATGTGAGAGGTCCAAGCCACTGCACAAGAAGCCAGCGGGATTGCAGGAACCGTTGGAGAAGCCACAGCAGCCGGGGGAAAGGGTGGCGCTGGACTTTGTCACTGATCTGCCCAGTTCAAGGGGCAAGACGGCGGTGCTTGTGGTTGTAGATCTGTTCACCAAGATGGCGCATTTCATTCCTTGCGCGAAGGTGGCAACAGCGGAGCAGACCGCCAGGCTATTCATAGACCACGTGTTCCGGGTGCACGGCTTACCACGGTCCATTTTGTCCGACCGGGGTCGCCCACGCAGTTCCAGTTTCTGGCAGAAGCTCCTGGGCATCCTGAATGTCAAGATCAACTTAGCGTCGGCGAGACACCCGCAAACCAACGGCCAAGCGGAGAGGGTCAACGCCATCATGCAGCAGTACCTGCGCTGTTACGCCAATCAGAAGCCGGCAACTTGGGTGGACTACTTACCGATGGCCGAGTTTGCCTACAACAACACGAAGCACGCGTCAACGGGGGTGACACCGTCTTCGCCAACAATGGGCGACATCCCAGAACATTCCCGGCGTTGGAGACAACGACACAGGGGGAGTCGCAGGGAGCGGAACATTTAGCAGCAGAATTGCAGGAGGTCCACGAGGAGCTACGACGGCACTTGGAACTGGCTAAACACGCCTACAAAGTGCAGGCAGACAGGCACAGGAGGGCAGGAGAAGACATCCAGGTGGGGACTGGGTATGGTTAGCAGCCCAGGCGGTGCCGGCCAAGTCGTTAGCTAAGAAGAAGCTAGGACACAAACAGCTAGGGCCATACCAAGTTGAGGGCAGGATCAATCCCGTAGCTTCGGTTGACCCTCCCAGAGGATTCCCGAATGCACCCGGTCTTTCATAGGTCGGTGCTTACACCCTACAAGGCCCCACACCGATTTCAGGAGCCAGGGACGGCACCAGACCCACGTAGGAAGTCACCGGGGGGGGGGGAAGTCACCGAGGACCCCGACACTCAACGAGGTCACGGAAATTCTGGACTCGAGATGGGGGGAGGAGGGAGTGGAATACCTCCTCGCCAGGGAAGGTACGCCGCCAGCGCCAACAGTTGGGTGCCAGATTATGCTCTGGAGGAACCGTTTCTTAAGGACGAGTTCCATGCACTCTTCCCACACAGGCCCATGCCAGAGGAGTATTTTGACGACTGGCTTTTACCCCCACACTTTCAGGCAGCACCTTCCGGGGTTCTCCTCCGCAGAGGAGACCACGCCGCACCGAGCCCTCCAAGGGGATCGTGCTCGGGGTAGACACGGACCGCTCGTATTGGTGGGACGATCAACCAGAGGGGGGGTGGCGACGGGGGCCTTGGCAAGCAGCTCGCCTGAAGTAACAGGGGAGGGAAGGGTTTGGAGGTGTTGGGGAGGACCCTGGCTTCGAGCACTCCTACACTGAACTGGAAGCAGAGGAGATCGACGTCGACGAACTGTATCCAGCATCTACCCCCGCTACAACGAAGCTCCCGGAACCTGCGCCCGAGCAGCGGGAGGGGGGAAGGGGGGGCTTCGAGGGGGGATGGATGTCAGGGGTTCAGGGAGAGAGGCACAGGGTAGGCAGGAGATGGAGAGCGATGGGGAGGAATTCCAAGCCAGCGAGGAAGAGGATGACAATGACTCAAGAGATTCCATGAGTCTTTCCAGCGAATCAGAGGATTCCCAGAAGGGGGCGCCGGTGGTCAAGGCCAGGGAGCCCCAGGGGGGAAGTGTCAGGAGCAGGGTGCCAGCGGAGGATCCCAAAGTGGCAGCTGGGCGTCAGGACCAGCCTCCCACCAGAGTGCAGCGAAGGGGGTGGAGTTTCCAGTGTGTCAGAGGAAGCAGCTCCAGCAGCAGAGAAAGGAGGGGGTCAGAGCAGCCGCCCTCCCGGAAGGGGAGGGACGCAGTGAAGGGAGTAGTGTAACTGTCAAAAGGAAAGTTAGAGGGTTGGCGCGCGCGCCTAGTTCAAATGTAGAGGCGCGCGGAAGTGCAGGGAGCCCGGAGGAGGGGCCAGGTCCCAAAGCCCGCAGGAGGGGGGAAGAGCAGTCTGGGGATTCCGCGTCAGAGGAATCCAGGAGGGGCGAAACCCCAGTGGGCAGAAGGACCCTGCGGAAAAGGAAGGAGAGAAAGAGGTGGAGCAGCGCAAGTCTCTTAAATTGGTGCAGGGGAGGAACTGACTCAGAGGGGACTTCGGCGGTCTAGCGTAAGAGACGTAAGGCTGCGCGCCTAGGATGTCAAGCAAACCATGAACTGCAATAAACACTTTTGTATATAAGAAGACAGAGGCGTTGGTCTTTTGTGAGCTAAGACTTGAGGCAGCCTTGACAATTGCTCATCTGCATTTTTTAAAAAAGAATTGGTTAATTAATCCATTACATTTAAATAAGTTTGCAGAACATCAATAGTGTTTGCCTGTATTGGAGTAAGAGAGAACTTTATATTTCATAGACAAAAAGCCCTCATCCTTTGTTACATGGAAAGGCCATCTGGAATTTTTTCTTTCCCCCCCTCTGTTATTCGACATGTCAGAACCCAAATAGCTTCAAAAATACTTTAAAATAGTCCTCACTGATTAAAATTGCAACCTGGCCAATCCATCAGTGAAAGCTTTTAGTTCATTAATCTACCAATTAAAGTGATTAAAATCTGCAGTGCCACATTTAAAACAGGCATGAGAATAGGGACACCCAAGCTTCTGTTGCCAGTTGAGAAAGGACCATACTCTCCCTTGGAGTCTGGTTTCAATGCCTGGCTGAGTGCCTAGAAAGAGATAAATGCTCTCTAGGATCAGGGCTGGATCACCTGTGAGACAAGGTGAGGCGTCTGCCTTGGGTGGCAAGATCCACAGGGGCAGCAGATCCCAGCATAGATCTTTCTTCCCCCCCTCTCTGATGTAGATCTTCACTCACCTTTTATTCTCTGGTGATGAGGGGGTACCATTTTGTGGTTTTCCCAGGCACCAAAATGTCTTGGGTTGGCCCTGTCTGGGATCCTGAAGCAAAGTACATGCAAACTTACATACCAATGAGGGTTGGGGGCTCATGGAGCAAATCAACTCTCCCATCCATGTCTCCTGCACCCACCAACCCTGGTGCTGAGACCAATGCATCTTCAATAAAACAGGCTGGATTGCAAGGCAACTAATATTTCATCCCTTCATTTAGACTCTTCTTGACTAGCTCAGTAGCAGGTTCTTACAGTGGCTTCTAGTGTAAGATCAATATCATAACAAAAAACCCCATGAAATTAGACCATAAACTTATTGCTAAACTCCAGTGGCCAAGGGGAACAGTCAAGGCAGCAAGAGAAGCAGGGCTCCCTAAAGTTCTGTTAAAAAGATGGCTTCTACGAGTCTTTTATAAACCTGATAGGAAGGGAGCCAGGCAGACTTCCTGAGTTGCTCCTTCATACATCTGGACCCAAGTCATTTGGGGATTTAAAGAAAAACCAAACCAAAACTCTACACAAATAATTGAAAACTGCCACCAATGTCATAAGATGCATCAAACAGTATATTCAAATGCCCTAACTGGGTGCTGCATGGAGGCTGGTGGTGGGGCAGGGAAGAACTTCATATCCTGTTGCCACTGGATTCCTTACCGGTCACTTCTTGCAACAGGGAGTTTCTGACACATTGCTTGACCTCTCCTCTCCCCTGTGAAGCACTAGACCAGCCATCCTGTCCCTTCCTGTGGTTCTTGACCTGAACAAGCTCAGTGAAAGCTGTTAGACTCAAACTTTTCTCTCCCAACTGCCTTTACTTCCCAGTATGTGACCCTTTTGTTTATAGTGTCACCACAGCAGCAGAGTCTTCACTATTCCAGAAGCTGGGCACTTCATCAGAATGTCTGCTCTCAGACAGCTCAAGCATCTCTGGAGTCAATGCTGGAATTTCACTGGCATGTCCAAGTCTCAGAGACAGGAGTTGTGATTGAGATAGAAGCCACTTTGGGTTATTCACCCATCTGCACAATTTATGGGCGTGTGGTTTTTCCATTTTAAAGGGTGCAAGAAATCCACTTCCGAGCTAGGGAGGAGGTGGGGTTGCGGGCTTCACCCCCCTCCTCACACTTGCGGGGGCTGGCTCCAGCCCCACGCGATAGCAGGGAATCCTCGGCTGCGTCATACCCCGTGCCAGCCAATCGGCTGGCGCGGGGGGCGTGGCCTCACCTACTTAGGTCTGGCGCAGCCGAGGACCTCTCTCTTTCCTGCGCCGCAGCTGACCTGGTTTTCCCATCCCTCCCACCCATTAGGATAGGTTCTCTGACGTTGCTATGAACCTCGGTTGGTTGCCGTCAAGGGGCCTGGTAGGAATTTTTCCATCTGGCAGATTGGCTCCAGCCATTTGTTTTGCGCCTACCTTGTAGCAAACCGTCACAACTCCTCGGTATTGGCGGTAGGCATTGGTGGGGGTACAGTCTATTGTTATGCAGATGAAGGGGGAGAAGGAGCGCCATCACCTTCTCCCAAATAAAGGGTAGTCCGGTAAAGGATTCCGGGGGGCGTGGCCTCGTCCTAAGCCTATAGAGGTGTGGGCCCATGGCACGCCCCCACGCGATGACCCCGGGGGAGGTCCTAGTTGACGTGCCTCAGCAGGACTCCTCCCACTGGTGGTTAACCCTCACCGGCCAGGTCGGTTAGTTGTAGGACCAATGCCTAGGCCAATACCGCTCAATTCCTGTAATCAATAAAGTTGTGGCCTAATCTGACCCATTAACTCAAATTCTTGTGTCTTTATTTCTATGGGGGGGAGGCGGGAACTTGCCATGCAATGAGGGGAGCTCAATGTTTCCTCTCCTCTGTGCTCTACTATTATTTCCAGTGCTTTTTTTCCTTAAAAAAATGTTTATGGGTACTCTCATTTTCCTACTCATACTGACATACTGCCCCTCAATGAGGCCAAACTTAGATTCACAAAATGTTTAGGGGTATGCGTACCCCTGCATCCCCCCAGAAAAAAAGCACTGATTATTTCCATTTCCATGCCACCGTTCTCCACAAACCTCAGGTTGTTGGCATCCATCTGTTCCGAGAGACAAAGGAGTGTGCCTCCAGGGATGAAGTAAAACGGCAGCTTTTGCAGCACCAAAATGACCTCCCTGGGGCACAAGCCTGGGCAGTGTGTCTGGAGGTCCTAGGCTGCCCCGATGACAAGATCCCCTCTCTCGGTCTCACTGATGGGGTCCAAAGGAAAACACAGCAATATATTTGGCACCTGCTTGGCTGCAGGAGCTGCTGCAAGGAGGTGTATAAGGTGCCATCCAACCACCTTAGGGACTCCACTCCGTATTTGTGTAGGGTTTTCTCCTTAGCCTTTCCTTTTCCTGAAGATATCCCTCAAGGCAGAGGAGGGTTAGGATCAGAGTTTTCCTTCTCCTGGATGGGCTCCCTTCCCAGGAGACAAGCCTCACCTGCCCCTCATTTCCATCTTCAGCACATGCAGAAACCACTTGCTGGACCCACTCTTGGTCTCCAGTGCCTAATTAAACCCTGCGGAGGCCCCTAGGCAATCAAAATATGGGAGGGGGGGGGCGTTCGCAAATTACGTCCAAATAAGTTTTTGTAAATTTGCTGTCAAGATTATGTCAATATTATTTTGAATTGTTGTTGTGGGGTAATCTGGCACTGTTGGTCTTATCCACTCCATCTGCCAGGGCTTGTCTTCACATGCAGGGGAAGTCCCTAAGTCACTGGTGGTTTGAGGCCCACTGGCTATCTCCACCTGGTTTAGCCAGCCAGTCAAAGTCATTCCTGGCTTGCGACTGCTGGACCATGCCGTCAGCTTCTAGGAGCCACAGGTGAGGGCTCAGTGTTGTGTGGGAACCAAAGGTGGGCAACTACTTCAGAAGGAGCATGACATGCCTGTCACCAGAGGTATTCCTCCTCCCCTAACACTCCATGCACCACAAAGTTCAGCATACCCACTTAATTCTCACAACAGCCTTGCAAGATAGGCTAAGCCAAGAGAATGTGACTATGGCCCTAGATAACCCAGTGAGCTGCAGAGCTCTGCAAAGACCTCAACTTCGGGCTTCCTGGTTCTAGTCTCCAGCCCAGCCTATCCTGATCTGCTGGCCTCCTGAAGTTCCCTGACCACTGGCCATGTTGGTGCTGATTGGAGTTGGAATCCAAAAGAACTAGAGGGCCCTAACCATGCACCACACTGGGCCTCTTCTACATCACACAACAACTTATTGCACGCCTTGTTGCTTTGCTTGCAGCATGCAGGAGGGCAGCAGGGGCAGGTCATTTGGTACCCACAGCTCTGTTCTCCAACAATTGGTCAAAGGGCTCGGGATGAATGAATTGCCTCACTCTGAGTAATGGTAGGGCCAGCCTTTAAATCATCCTTAGCATGAGTATCGTACTTCCTGATGTTCTAAGCACTTCACACGCATCACCTAGCTGTAATCCATTAAAACAGCCCCGTAAGGTACATCAGCACTATTCTCCCCATATCACAGGGTAGGGGTGAGGCAAAGAAAGAGGTGGTGACTTGCCTAAGATCACCTAGTTAGTTTACGGCAAAGCTAAGATTTAAAATGGGGGCTTCCTGATTTGTGGGCCAGTCGTTTAGCTGCTATACTAAACTAGCTCAGGTAAAAATTTAGCTGTTCTGTGATGTCTGAGTCCTTTCCTTAATTCCCAGTAACTGACCAGGTAACATGTCCCAGACTAAAGCTTGGGGCATTAAATCAGGGATAGGGAATCTGTAGCCCTCCATATACTGTTGGACTGCAACTCTCTGACCTTTGGCCATGACAGATGGGGATGTGAAACAGATATCAACATAAACACAATGACTTTATCGTATTGTGTCCTACCTTGGTGTTTTAGGGCTGCACTGGAAGAGGGGTTCCCTGTCTGTGAAATAGGCCACTTCCCCCCTTTAGGGAAAACCCCCCTCCCATATTGCAGTGGTCTTTCAGGGAGGCATACAACTGTGAAGAAAATGTTCTCCTTTAAAGCAGCAGCTGCTCCTTTAAAGGAACCCACAACACTATGCTTACCATAATCCCTAATGGATTACTTTATGATTTTGTGGGTGGTATTGATAAAGCCTTGAAATATTATTCCCGCTGCCTCTGTCTTCCTTGGTATTCTAATTTTAATAACCTGCGATTAAGCGACAGACAGGGATGTCACTTATCAAATAGAGAACAACAGTTGTAGCTTGCAGTGGAAGAGAGAGACTTATTTCCCACTGTCACTCACTATCCCTTCCCTGCGCCAGGCACTCCAGCACCTTTGGCTCCCATATCAGCCATCTTTTGGATCTTGCCCCATGGGAACACACAGCAAAAGCACATTACGACTGTCAGAGGGAAGAAGGGAAGCTGCCTGCTACTGAGAGAGACCCTTAGGTCCATTGAGCCCAGTATTGTCAACACTGACTGGCAGTGGCTCTCCAGGGAGCACAGGGAAGAAGATCCGCACTCATGGCTCCACCCAGTCAAAACTTCAGGCATTTCCATTTATTTAGGCCTACAGCAAAGCCTGCTTTTGTTAGGTGAAGTTCTCTTTTGTGGCTCTTGACATGGGAGCCATCCCTTTCTAGTCCACGCAACACCAACAACTGCATGGGCTGAGTGCTGCTTTCCGCACAGAGTCAGGGGGCTCTTTCTTCAAAGGCTAGTTTCTGGATCTCTGGGGGTCCTCCATTTCACCTCTGAACTTGAAAGCTCTCTGAAGGACTTGCTCTTTCTTTTTCTTTGATCTGCGGCTGAGGACCCGCAAGGCATTTCCTGTTTTGTTTGGACTATTTCCTTGGTCGAGGGTAAGGTTCCACAATGACACTTATGTGGCATGCACTTAAATTGCATTCTGAATGCCCCCCCCCCCCGCTTGATGATGTTGTAATTGCTGTGCTGACTTCAGGATGCAGGGACCGCAGCTTGGCCTTTCTCTACCCCTGATGTTGGACTGCAGTTCCCCTCACCCCCTCACCAGCATGGCCAAATATCTGGAGGGCCACTGGTTTCCCAGTCCTATGTAGATAATGCTGACCTAAATAGAGCAAGAGCCTGGGTGGGTGAAAGCAGCTTCCTGTGTTGGTCACTGTCACCAGGAGCATCTTTCTTACCTCTCACCTGTGGCTTGCTGTGCAGGCCAGAATATGTTTGGCTTCCCCCAGAACCTTTGAGATGTTACTCAAGTCCACACCCAGGGGCGAAACTAGGCTTTATTTCACCTGGGTCAAAGGCCCGTTTGGCACCCCACCCAGACACATTTGCACATGCACACACACAGGCTCGGAGCCTCAGTGGTGCCCCTCTGGAGGCTTCACCTGGGGCAAAAAACCCAGCTAACCACTGCTGCCACTCCCTGTAGCCATGGCACTGCCACACCAGGGTGAAGCGATACATGTGCTTGGAGCAATTTGAATTAGTACCCCACCCTTTGCCAAATGCCTGGGTATTTCCTTTTTGTCTCATTGTGAAACTATCCCCAATCAATGAGGAAGTTATAGATGTGCAAATATTTAAGCCAGCACATGCAGATGGGAAATGGTGGCTTTTCATTCATTCCCAGGAGAAGGGTGGGGGCCTCAAATCTAGAATCAGACATAATATCAGTTCCTTACATCATGAGCAGGGTGGGGGGTGGAGACCCTACTCCATCAACTACAGAAGTGGTGATTATCAGAAGAAGGTGCAGCCAAATATATAACTTGGCAAGGAATGAATTAAGGGGAAATTGGCAGTTTGAGAGCCTTTTCATGACGCTCCTGCAAAACAGCCTATTTAAATCAT